GTACCGGTATTTTGAGATCGAATGGACTCACTCGACTGCAAATACTGACTGTGAGTACGACTGCATATACTGAGTACTAAATACTACCTCCAGTCGGAAATAAACCAGCCATTTGGTGAAAATTGGTAAAATTGGTGTTTTGTTTGATGGTGTTATCTGATTTTGCCCTAAGTATGCTTGTTGTGTACGTCTTAGTATGGCCAGTATCCCTGTGGAATATAATACCTTAAACATGAATACCCTAATGGATAAGTGGGTTCTACGCTATGAGTGTTGGTGGCTTACATGCATTCTACCTGCACCAACCAATAGTCAGCAACATTTTAAAACTATGTTTTGTACAGAATATAAATTACTGCAGGTGTATAATATAATCAGTATCAAATCGTGACAGATATCCGGATACATGTTTTCGGTCTCTATAACATAATTTATTCCGGTAAATTCTGAAAAAACCTCCAAGAATGAAAGGCTGGTTTATTTCCGGCCGGAGGTAGTATAAATATGTATCCATATATATATTTGCGAGATGGACCGGAACAGTTCAGCATGTTGCCAACGCTACCAAAGCTATACATAACACAAGGCTTAAGTAGTACAAAGGAGCATGTGTGTGCGTGTTATGCTGGCTTAGGATTTCTTAGATGAAGCTATCCTTCTTGCGGCGGAGGTTGGCGAGCACTGCGACGGGGTCGGTGCCGCCGACGGCATTGACGATCACGTCGTCATGCACGCGGAGGAATGGGTTGTACGCCATCTCCTCGCGCAAGGTCGACGGAATGGTCGGGAGGTTCTTGGACCGGCGGAGCTTGGCCCAGTTGATCTTGTCCCGCACCGCCGCGTTCGTCGGGTCTACGCTCAGCGCAAACCGCAAGTTGGCCATGGTGTATCTACCGCCACCCTCGTTACAAGCACATCCAAGGACAGACAGGTCCTTGTATCGAATGATAGCTATACATACTCGTGGCCGCAGTAGACTTTGGTGTCCTTAGGCAGGTGCAAAAACACTTCGTACAACGCATGATACATGTTTTCTGCTGTCCCTTCAAAGAAGCGTCCTACACCACCGTTAAGGACGTCGACACTCGTAGTTCAGAAGATGTTTACGAACCGCATCCGCCGACAAACAGCGTGTCTCCAGGGAACAGCAGCGGCGGCGTCGACGGGTCGCCCGAAATCAAGTACGCCAAGTGGCCCTTCGTATGGCATGGCACTGCCAACACCTCGATTGTCATGGCGCCGATCTTGAACTCTTCACCTCCTTTTAAAGACTTGGTCACGCGTGGAATGACTTCGTTGTGCGGCCCTGCCACCAACAGGTCAGGGAACTTGTCAACGATCGCGACATTTCCACCACAGTGGTCGCTAATGCAAGGGAGTTCCAGTCATGATGAAGAAAGATTGAATGGTTAGAGAACGTACGCATGACCGTGTGTGGTGAGAATACCGAGAAATTCCCGGCCTGGCTTGCTCAACTCTTCCTCGAGCACAGGGATCATCGCGCTAGGTTGCGCAGGGTCCACGGCAACCACATGCTGGTTCGCTTCGTCAATCACGAGGAAACCTACATGGTCCATTAAGACCGTCAGTGCGTTGACAAGGATGACCGGTACAGTACCATAGTTGTCGTCAAACATAGGAACGAGGCGCACACGCAAGTGCGGATCCGACCGCTGCGGCACTTTAGATTTCTTGACCTTCCGTGGTGCCTCGGTGCTGAAATGCGCATGTACCGTCATTGGGTGGCGCATTGAAGGTAGACTCGCATTGGACCGCAGAAGGCCAAGACCTGCCGCGCGGCGAGCTGGTGCTTGAAAGTGTCGCCACATACGGTGGGGTACTGCCGATGCCGCCGACTTCCAAAAAAACATCGACGTTGCATTTGATTGGTGGATTTCGAACGACCGACATTCTGTATGAAGATCACAAAACGACAACACAACATGGAACCGCAGCGCGTCGGAGTTCGGTTCACGCCGCCGCTTGTGTCTGTCGAATTCAAATGCAGCGGCAAGCTCTACATCCACGAGATCGCTATGGATTCGTACCTTTCAAAGCACAGCGTAATGGAACCGCCGTTCCTACGATGTATGTGCTTAACCTTGTCGTTGTAGGATGTGGGGTCCCTGGTGCGGCAGCTGCAATTGGACCACGCAGCGTATGTAGACGACGTGTCCACAGCCCAGCTGACTCGACTCGTCCAAAAGATCTTCCAGAAAGCGAAGCCCCTAGCCACGCTCCCGACTGCCGACTACAACAACGTGTCCGAGAACCAGCTGCGACTTGTCAAGGACAAAATGGATTCCGTGTTCTTGTCGAATGTGCTCAAACCTGGAGATCCTGGCTACGCCTACGACAAACAAGTACACGTCACAGACTTGACTTTTGATTCAAAGTGCGTTGCTGTGCTAGACCGAGTTCAAACCATCAGAAGCCAGTGACTGGGACGACTAGAAGTCTTCTAGTTGTTTGGACTGTGGGTGGGGTACATACATCAGCAGCCACGCGATCGAATTGCACAGCAATACACCTAAACCACCAGATATACATAGTACTCTTTCGAGTACATGCCATCACCAACTGTGCACTCATGGGCTAATTGCTACTCGAATCCTACCAGCACCACATACTCACCTGTAGTTGCATCGTTGGTAATGAAGTTGTTTGGCCATCTGATTCAAACGGCACTCAAAGGCACTGGCATTCCATGTACAACTACTGTAGAACGTGTAGTTGTCCTGATCCCAGTTGGATCTAGCGCGCTCGTGGCCAAATACACTACGCCATTTTGCAGTTTAGTTGGACGAATGCCCGATATATTTGGCCCTGCGCCCGATATATTTGGTGGTGTGCCCGATATATAATTAGCCATGTGCCCGTTTAATTTGGCATACCGAGGTCGTGTGCCCGTTATATTTGGCGGTGTGCCCGAAATATTTGGCAGTGTGCCCGATATAATTGGCCGTGTGCCCAAGCAATTGCCTATATGCCCGAAGAATTGTGTCGTGTGCCCGATGAAAATGGCAATAACTCAAATAATTACTTGAAGTATATTTGATGGAGTGCAAATCAGTTTTGGTAGAAACATCAAGTGGTTGAAGTTCGGAGGAAAACGTGCGAAGGCAAGATAATTCGAAATGTATACTTGAATAAAGTATTGTTGAAGTTCGTACTACGGGCGCTTAATTTCCTCCTACATTTTGAATGCTCATTATTCAAATCGCCAAGGAACGCACAGCATGGACGTCGCTACACCCCCACGAATAACTCTGGTAATAATAATGTCAATTAAAGTATTGCCCCTATATGTACTTCAACGTTTCATCCATACTTTCAACTCCCTCCAAAACTTGAATCTGTCGCGCGCAGAGCTCATGTTTTGATTTACCTCAAGGTACGTACCCTCGATGGACGCGCGGAGGCCATGGGCAACATGGGTGTTGGTATGTGACGTCACAGTAACGATGCTGCATGTGTCGTTTAACGACCATTTCTATACTAGGTATTGAATTGACTTTTTATTGCGTGATTTCCATTTTCATCGGGCGCACGACACAATTCTTCGGGCATATGGGCAATTGCTTGGGCACACGGCCAATTAAATTGGGCACATGACATCCCCGATATATTTGGCCGTGTGCCCGATATATTTGGCGGTATGCCCGATATAATCGGTCATGTGCCCGTTTAATTTGGCACACGACTTAACTGCAAAAAGGTGTAGTAACGTTATATGCTTCTATCCAGTTAGTTGCGTGGCCTCCAACTCTTTCAAGGTTGTATAATAACTTTCGTATGCTGTACGTATATACACAACCACACAACACCGTTCTATTAAAAATTACTCGCTTCGTTAAACTTTTGCACCCACATCTCCTTGTCGTCGTCGGACGGGGCACGAAAGCAAAACGTGCGGCCAGCGGTCGGCGGCGCCAGTTTGAACTCGTTTCCGTGGCTGCGGGACTCCAACACGGTGTACCCTGACACGCTGAGCGGGGGCTCCATGCTCTCCCGGTTCTCTTCATAGTACGACTTGGCCTTAAAGCACAGAAACCGGCCGTCTTTGAGCACAAAGAACGACTGCTTCCACTTCTTTCCCAGCAAACCGCTGCCTTCCTGGCGGAACAAGTACCCCGAGAACTCTTTGGGTTTCTTGGCGATGATCTCCACCGTCGCGACCGTCGCCTGTGTCGTCTCCACTGTCTTCGCAAACAGCGCGTCCTTGTCTCGCATCGCTTGATTGATCTGGGCCTGCGCCTCTGCGATCGAGCTCTCCACCATCCGCGCCTGCTCAGCCTTGCGCTCATCAACCTGGCGCTGGCCGTCCACTTCGCGGCGCATGCATTCGATGCGGACGCCGTTGGATTCCTCTAGGCTTTGGTTGAGCAACACCAGCGTTTGTTTGGCAGTGGCGATGGCATCGACGAGTTTGGATTGTTGGAGTTCAAACGTCCGGTGTGCCGCAACCACCGCCTTTTGAATGTGCGCGGGCACGACGGCGTGGAGAAAGCCCGAGAGCACGGCTTGGGCGGCGGGCCCCGTGGCTAAAAACTGATACTGCGACACGAGTGCGTCAATGTTGGCTCGATATGCGATAAGGAACAGCATGAGCTTGGACTGAGACACCGCCGACGACGACGCCGTGTCATCCAAGTGGGTCTTCTCCACCACCACCCCGTGCAGGTACCGCACCAGTTTTGAGCAAAACAAGGCGGACGCTACGGCGTTGGCCGTCTTGAACTCGGCAAACAGCCGCGCCACCGACGATTCGACCTGCGCAGCACCCACGTGCAGTTGATTCTCGCCCGTGAAGATCAAGTCGGGAGCGCTCGACAGCGCCATAAACGGAGCCAGCGCCGTCGACGCCACCGCGAAGCTTTCGACGTGCTTGGCATGCAGCGTCTGTTCGTCCAGAGGCATCTTTTCCCGCCGTTGGTTCTGGATGTACTGGACGGGGACGGGGTACGCGCGGATCTTTTCAAAGTGCATGTCGAGGTCGACCTCTTCCGATTCTTGGGAAGACGCCGGCCGCGCGACTGCGATCGACGCCTGGCGCTGCAACCCGCCTCGCTTTTGCTTGAGAAAGTGCAAGATGCCCACGTCCAACGTTGATGACGTGGCGCCAGCGTCGTGCTTGGCGCCTGCCCTCGTTTTCTTCAGATTCCCATACTCGTCAAACACTGAGTGGTCACCCTGGCCGTGGTCGATCACGTGAAAATCGTGCTCGCTTTGCTTGATGCCCATTTTGATCTCGGTCAAGTCGACCACCAGCGCGCCGTCGACGGGTACGGGGTCGTACGGAAGGACCTTGACGTGCAACCAATCGGCATACGTGCCGATGACGTTATCGGTTAATTCGTGCCAATACGCGAGTGACACGTCACGGACAAAGTCGCGAAACGGAAGTATAGCCCATGCATTCGTCGACAGCGGCGGCACCACCGCATGCAAGAGGTGCGCAAGGATGCCGCAGCACAGGTACCGGCCAAAGAACGGCTTGTAGATGGCATGGCCGTCCGTGGCGGCGCCGACGACCTTGGCGGCCGTGTACGGCGCGTTGGGCACCTTGAACATGCTTGATTTGATGCCAAAGCAGTCGCGCTGCGTGAAGAAGTTGGCGAGGACACTGGTCGTGGCAAACTCGTTCGGGGGATTACTGGCCAAGACCTTTTCAAAGTAGGCAGGAAAAGCGTCGCCGCCACACTCCTTTTTGTCCACGTCCACCACGACATACGTGAGCTTGGGCATGTGCCGCTTGAGCAGTTGCGCGTTCAGCTCCGCAGACTCGGCAAAGTCGTCGGTGGATGGGACCATGGACACGTCCATGAGCTTGGTTAGAAAGTTGAGGTTGCGAAAACCGTCGGAATGGACGTGGCCCTCCCGCACAAAGATGGCGTGGGATGCCAACAGCAACGCGAGCGTGCCCCATTGCGGCGTTGCCGTCAAGTCCACATGGCGAAGCACGAGTAGGAACGACAGGTTTCCATCGTCGTCCACCTTGATGGGGTGCTTGACAATAAACAACCCTTTCTTCGTGCCTGACGGCAGCGCCACACCAGCCCCAGGCAATTCAAACACCACGTTCAATGCCACTTTCCGATGAGCCCGAGCTTCGTCCACGAACATCTGAGAGATTTCGTCATTCAAGACCCAGCGCCCGGATCCATCGTCGGTGCAGAATGGGGTCAACGTCAAGTCCACTTCGGACGCTGCAGCCGCGTCGGCGGCAGGTCGACGAGATGCCATGCCAAATGCAATGCCAAGACTGCAGGGGGGTCGGATGACGATTTGAGCCAATGGGAGCGAGATTATAACCTACAGTAACCTATTACATATACTAACACAGTACAGTAGTATAAGTATATTTTCTATGATAAGAAGTACATTTGATTAGTACTATTTGTTGTAGTACTATTAATATTAATAATAATAATATTAATAGTACGATTCTAGAGTAGTAATACTAGATAGATTTAGAAATTCGTCAAAATTTGAGGCCGGTTTAGCGAAACTCGACATAAAGAAGTGAGGTGGCGGTCCAAAGATCTGCTGGCATCGACATCGAAACGATTGAGTCAAGATGGAGGGCATGTTCAACTACTTCATTCCGGACGACGGCGACACGCCGGACCACCTCAACATATTCCCCATCCCATCACAGCACAAGAACAGCTTGAAGCTCTCTCACATCAAGAAGGTACGCGACCAGTTCGTCGACACGTTGATGGCAACAACGAGTTGAACGAACGTTCCCTTGAAGGAGTTCCCGATACCCGGACAGTTCCACTTTCGATTCAAGCAAGCGTTCGAGGGCACGTATGGTATGTAGCAACATTCGCGACGTCGACAACACCTGTTCCTCATCATTTCGCACCGCTGACTCATTGTTCATTAGTGTGGCTGGACGTTGACGACGACGACCCGGTGCCTGACTTCAACGGCCTCATCATCAGCAAGATCTCGCGCATCTCGGACAGCGAAGTACCATCGCCCTCCGCCAATACGTCGTCTGCACCGAACAAGTCGGCTTCGTCGGTACTTCCCCGCGTGTCTACTTCTCCCGCAGCAGTCCCCGACCTCATTCAAACCAACGTGGCTACGCGTACGTAAAGTTCATTTCCCCTTCGTGTTCCTTCCAAGGCACCAATCTTGTTCATACTTAGCGAAAGCAGCGGACGCGGCGGCACCCAAGGTGTTCAATGACGACCTCGTTGGCCTGGTACTCACTCGTTCACAATACCACTGCTAACTCACAGTTCGTCTGCCATAGATGTCCACGCCGATCACGAGCCAATCGCCGCGTGGCCCCGCCAACCCGTCCCCATCAGCTCAGTCACAACAGGTGTATATATGTCCTTCGTTCCCGCCATCATTATGTGTCCATCTTGATGCAGAAACCGGGGGACGCATTCGACGTATTTGCCGGAGCTCCTTCGACCATCAAACCGCCGACGCCGCGAGGTGCGCCGTCGCCAATGAACCCTCCGCCCCCTGGCGCCATGAACCAGTTCAACAACATGCCTGGTCAGTTTGGCATGGGCGGCCAGCAGCCGCAGCCGTTCAACCTCGGCCGTCCGCCCATGATGAACAACGTGAATCCGGCGATGGGGCGCCCGCCGCCGATGCAGCCGCCGCCGAATGCCAACGGCTTCAACAACCTCCAGTGGCAAGGCATGAACCCCATGCAGCAGCAGCAGCAACGCCCCCCTGGAGGCCAACCCCCCCGGCAGAATTGGTAGACAGGCTATTGAATACACATGTACCTGTGATACCTCATGCTTTTTTGCGGGAATATGACGTTGGTAGAGACGGGGGCTGAATATTACGCTTGTCCCTGTGGATATGATTGTGTAACGTAGACAGTATTGCCCCAGACGAAAGGGATAGGATTAAAGCTAGGGTGCTTCACCACACACCTGCAAACTAGCGTATTTGATGAACTGCACCGTGGAATGTATAGCTCGAAAGGAATTCAATATCATCTATAATCCATTAATAGGTAGGTATACTTCGAAGCACTACCAGTATATAATGATTAAATAATAAATTGTTCAAATTGAAGTACTACTAAGTAGTAAGTAGTAGTATATATGGTGCAAAGGTACGACAAATACGGTAGTAACATTAACGTTAAATAATACTACGTAGTATGTTCTACTCTGGTCCACACAAATGTATCGACTTCTTTTTTGACTTGATTGAAGTATACTTCTTAGAAAACATTCCCTTGGTAATATAATATATTTATTATATATATATATATATCATGGTACTAATTTTTAATACAAAGTAGGTGATGAATGATGTCGTGCATGCATGCCTTCCCTAAAGTCGCTTGAGCGCGGGCGGAATGCTCATGTACTACTCTATGGAATTACGTGAAACAATAGCCAACGACAACGATATATTTGGCCGCTTGCTAGTAAACTAGCTATTATTGATGATCAAGGCACATTCACGGGTTATGGCTGGACGGGCCTGGTGGCGGAGCTCACCACAGGCGGCACAGATGGATGCACTGGGAAGGGTTTCCTCAGCGCTTCTGGAATTGCCGACGGGCTGCCGAGCCAGGGTGGAGGAAGGAGGTCTGCCGCCGCTGCTGTCGCGGGGGCAGCCAAGAGTGGGTCCGACGAGTCGCCGTCTACACCAACGCCGCATGAGTCGTCGTCAATCATATACAAAGAATGTCGATAGAAAACTCAAACTCAATCGGTTACTTTACCGCTGTGGAGTTGCTGCATCTTGTTGATCTGGAGTTCCCGTTTGAGTTTGAGTTCTTCGATTTTCTTGAGGTACTTTTCCATTTCTTGGTCGTGTTTTTCCATTTCCTTGGCGTGTTGCCATTCTTCGTCGTGGAGGGTCTGGTCAATGTGGTGTCCGGCATTCCCACTACCGACGGCGGCATGGCCGATATACAACGCTTCTCGAACGAGCGGCGGCGGTGGGGACGACGACAGTGGCGCCGCCGCCACAGTACTTCCACTGCTGCTGCCGCCGCTCATGGGGGTAGATCCAACGTTCCATTCCCCCCCCAAGTCGTCCGGAAATGACGACGACTGCTTGGACAGCGAGTTGGGGCCAGACGACAAGGTCACGTCGTCCAATCCCATTCCCCCCCCCAGATGGTACGAATCCCTCGACGAGGAGTTGTTGGACAGCATCGACGCGGTCAGCGACCCAGTGTCGTCGTAAAAGTCGAGTTCCAACGGTGTCGTCAAGTACGGCACCAAGTTCATTTTGGACACGTGCGGCAACGGCTTGGACGAGAACGAGTGCGGCTCGGGAGCTTCTTCCCATACATCCACGTCCACATCGGGCAAGTTGGCGAGCTTGCCTTCAATCGCCAAGAACCCGATCGAGTCAGCAATGTCCCCCACGTCCGGCTCCATAATGCCCACGTCTTCGGCCAGTTCACATGCAATCTCGTGCGGCGAATCCGTAAACACGTTGAACGGAAACTTGATCTCCTTGGATTTGCCTATACAAAGATATACATATAAGCTCAAGTACGAAATCGATAGACGACAATTCGATATATATATATATATATTGACCAATCAAAACCCACAACACACGAATCAAGTACCCAATCAAACTATCCACCCTTTGACCCATTCAAGATATCGAATTAGTGTGTGCCTGAAATTAGTGTGAAAACAACCCACTCGGCACGCTCTTGACATACAATAGTCAGTAGAAACAACAACATGATCGATCGATGGATTTGGCGAATCCAAAGTTTAACAAGGACAATACCGTTTAGCGTGAGACGCATGCTCAGGAGAATGCTGTGCGGGGCCGACGGGTCTTTGGTGGCTCGAATTTCGTGTCGCCGGCCCACCTTTCGATTCGCAGGAGCGGCGGCGGCGGCTGTTGCGGGCTGTTGCTGTTGTTGATATTGTTGTAATTGCTGTTGCAAGAGGCCCGTACCAGCGCCGACGTTTGTTCGAGTTGGCGCATTCTCCCCGCTCGACGACTTCTTGGACAGCGTCGGTACCATGGGCGGCAACTGCGTCAGGGGGTTGTTGGACGTCGGCGGCGATGGCGGGACGGAGCCGTCCGACACGCTTCCCTTTCGCCTCGAGATCGCGTCCGACGACGGGGGAGGGGAGGGTTGCGGGGGGAGGAGCTTCGTGGGGGGTTGCGGCGGCACGTTGAACTTTTTGTCGTCCGAGAGCTTGTTGTTGCGGCCGTCCATGACGGATTTGCGCGAGTCGTGGTTCATCTCGGTGTCTCGCATCGACGCCAAGATCGCATCCGCCGCCTTGTCGTTAGCCGCGATCGCCCCTGCCGACAGCGGTGCGTCGGTGGTCGGTCGGTTGGTAAACACGAGCGAATTGCTTCGCGGAAGGTTGTCCAAATCAGATGGACTCGTGTCCACGGGTATTCGGATTACTTGGCCGCCTCCATTCGGAACGAGATCGTGATGCGGCACTGGCGGCGACGAGTGCCGCCGGACGTCCCGTCGCGCGTCCAATCGAGCCGCTGCCAACGCCGCGTTGGATTCTTCGAGGTCGAACCCCTTGAGCGATTTGTGGGCCGGTGATAGCGGCGGCGTCGGACTGTGCTCTTCCACGCCTACAAATGAACATCACCATGAGCCTTTCACCCCCAAACATTATATTGTCAAGTCGACTCGAAATTCGAGTGCTCAATCGAATGAGCACATTAACCAAAATGGCACACAATCAAAGATCGACCAATCAAAACACAAGACATGAATCAACTAGCCAATCAAATCCTCGAATTAGTAGGTGATACGATCTTAAAAGTCAGTACAATGAATAATCGATCGATCGATTTGGCAAAGAATCAGCACAAATGTCCAAATATGGGGTCAAGAAAGACAATATAAACTACACACGGACAACGACTACTACTACTAGTACTACTACTACTCGGATCGTACATTCCACCATTTGATCGTCGTCCGAAGATGCTTGCAAGAACGGGTGGCCCATGAGGTACGTAGCGGTCACGTCGACGTGGCCATCGCCTCGCGACAGACAGAGCTCGATAAACTCCTTCGCGGCGTTGCTCTTGATGCGCGCGAGGCCTTGTGGACGGATACCCTACGCGACCCAATGTCCATCAATCAATCATATGGACAAGTAGATAGATGGCCTTATTACCGCCATGACTTTTTTGTAAATCTGCGCGGGGTTGTGGCACTCGGAATACGGCACGTCCTTGGTGACCATCTCCAGCACGCACATCCCAAACGCATAAATGTCGACCTTCTCGTCGTAGTTTTCGTCGTACAATTCGGGCGCCATAAACTCGGGCGTCCCCAGCACGCTCTGCGCGCGAGGCTTCTCGACCGCCATTTGCGTGGACAAACCGAGGTCGCCGATGCGGAGGTCGCCCGTGTTGCCGTTGATGAAGATGTTGTCGCACTTCAAGTCGCGGTGGATCACGGGCGGATGCTGGCTGTGTAAATAATGCAATCCTTCCAAGATCTGCAGACACCATCGCTTGATGATCTTCCACTTTACAAAGTGCACGCGTTTGATGTACGACTTGAGCGACCCCGCCGTCATGATCTCCGTGATGAACACCACCTGGTTCTTCTCCTTCGCGAACCACGACCCGTAAAAGTTGATGATGTTCTTGTGTTCGAGCTTCTTGAGAAGTTCGACTTCCTGGATGATGCGCGCTTTCTCGCCGTGGGGGAGCGCGCCAATGTCGATCGCGTTCCATGCGACGTCGATCCCTTGATCGACATCGTACGCCTTGTACACGGTCTTGTACGCCCCAGTCCCGAGACGCTTGTCAAACTACACACACACACATATACACGTGAGGGCAACGGTCGATGACATCTTGCACACGAACGAGTCTGTCGGGAAAAGGGCCCACGTACTCGGATGTAGATTCCTCGCGGCGACTGTTCCACTGCCTTGTCCCCGTCTTCCATGTTCATGCACTACTGTACTGTGTGATGACACCTTTGCGCTCCTTTCAGTCAATCGTCCCTGTACTCTATGAGATCGGGATCGCGCAGTTGTCGGCGGCGGGAATAAGCGGCGCGGCGGTGGCTCGAGATGAGCCCCGTGGGTTGGTGTGTAGTACTTGCCCGAGTGGAATCGAGTTTCGGAGGTTCTGTAGAGGTCATATCAAACGGGAAGGTTCCATACAATTCTCAAGTGAATATCCAAGCCCGAAAGTACTCGTGAAAACGAATACCGTATGACTTTTATTAAACCTTTGTAGTTTTATTCCAGAGCAGTGTGAATCTCAGCTTGTCGTGAGCTATTTTATTTGTACTGTGGTGGAATTTTAAACGTTTCCCCAAATTCATCGTGTTGACTGGGTTTGCAATTCCTGCATAAAAACGACCGAGCTCTCATATTAGACAGCACTGAGACAGTGAACCCATCCTCACATACTAGGTACTATATCAAAGTATTAGTACGTATTAATACATACTAAGTAGTAGTATATAAACTATTAATAGGAGAAGAATCATCGATTATTCCGTCCATACTAGGAGTGGGAGCCACGAGAACATGAAGATTCACGAAGTATCCGGACGTATTTCTTCCTTCGAACGTCGGAATAAAATTACGTTCCGCCGTCTTGTAATTTGCTTGACCAAAATTGCATGATGAACGAGCATGAATTTGAAATATTTTCGAAAAAACTTGAATCTATAGGGTTAAATTCGAAAGATTCAGGAGATTTGGTGAAATATCAACACAAAATTCGAGGAAAAATTGGCGGTTTCGTGAAATCTAACACATTCTACTTGCTGAAAAAGCAGAAATTAACAGGAAACGGGGCCACGTCAGTACGGATAATTCGGATACTACACCCAAATTTCTTGGCATCGTCAGCGCATCTTGAGAGTTCCGTCCGGCGAGTCCACGATATGCAGACATCCCAGGTGTACTGCGTGGAGCGGGTCTTTGAAGACCTAAAGAAGCCCTTCGTTGTCAAGGATGTCGTTCGTCAACTGATCCATTTGGACTCGATCGTCGCGGACGTGTTCTTGCGCATCGGCAACAAGGTGTTGCTTCGACTGTGTTTCCAGCACATTCCGTTCAACGACTCTTGATCGTAGGTCCAAGCAGAAAAAGAGCGCGTGCAAGCCATCGACAAGGTGGTGGCTCATCGTTGCCAACCCTACTGCTTCTGTTGAGCTCATGTTGTTGCTGTCTGTAGCGAATTGTGGACTGCCAGAACAAAGTCACTGCCATCATTGGTGCGTTCAACTTGATCGTTCAACTCCCTCGCTCATCATATGACACATAGAACGCGGCCTTTCCAACAAACCCACGACAGTGTTTTCCACGGCCAAGTACCCAGCCCCTCCAGGTATGCCCTGCAACTATATCCATGTACTAATAACATGTTAGTCCTACCGGCGACGAAAGGGCTCTACAGCGACAAACCGTTCGAAGAACATCCTCCCCTCGCGGTATCCGACTCGGCCGTGCACTTTCTTCCGTCCGAAGCCCCCACGCCCGGCCAACGCGCGCAACTCATGGCCGAGGTGCTCGACTTGTTCGAGCGGGTGAACCCAGCCATGGAGACGCGGCGCGCTGAAGTCAACATGGCGAAAGTACGTTCATCTTGACCTTGTCCATCTCGTACGTCCAGAACACCTGTTAATAGGAAGGTCTGGGGCCGTTACCCGACGATATTCCGTCCATTGGTAGTGTGCTGCTCTTCAATTCTGGCGAGAATCCCTACCAACAAGTACACGAGCTTCTCGTAGTTCTCTATAGTGAATGGGGTTATTATACTGTTGTAGTACACGTCATGGGACAATTTGCTCGGGGTGGACGTGGCCGAAGAAGAAGAGAAGCAAAAGGTGCTGGCGGCCGCGCCCGATTCCGTCATGAACGGCGGCGACGGCTTTGACGGCACGATCGACAAGGGCTTATTCAAACCCAAGTATGTCCCGTACGACAAGAGCCAGTTCCCCGACGTCCTCCCCGGTCTCAAAGGTGTCGCGGTCGAGTACAAATATGACAATGCCAACCAAACGTCCATCGCGCCATCCATGTTTCAAGACACGGGGCTGCCGGACCTGCCTCAGATCGCCGAATTCGCCGCCGGACCCACCGCGTTGCAGCCCCATGCCGCCGAAGGGGGTGTTGTCTTGGGCCCGACGGACGTGTTACCGCCGCCACCACCACCTCCGCCGCCATCGTCGTTTGACGGAATCAACCCGCCAGGACCTCCCGCTCCGCCCCACGACGGTACGTGTATGTCCTCCAGGTCACGACCTGAATGGGCGAACATGGGAGCGTAGACGCCGCGGGAGGCCCTCCGCCACCGCCGCCGCCGATAATGGCGGACCCCAACCAGCAGCAACCCCCGCCGCCACCTCCCCCGGCCAACTCGTCGGTTGATGGACCACCCCCCCCGCCCCCTGAACCAGTCAATCCCCGCGCCAACTTGCTGGATTCGATTCGAAATGCCGGTCTCAATAAACTTCGCAAAGTACATGAGTCGACTTTTCGGTTATGACAAACTCACTGTATGATATGTTATCTTGAATAGGTAACAGACAAACCACATACGAAATCGACATCCGTGCCAGAGGTACAATGTATAGCTAGAACCTATGAACAGTCTAAAGGTTTCTTCATGTTGATATGGATCCATGTGACTAAATTGACTTGTTTGGGAACTGTATAGCAAGAGAAACCGCCGTTGACCCTTGCGGACGAAATCAAACTGCGCATGACACGGCGGCAGAATGCGTTGAGCGGCAAGCAGGACCGGATGGAGCAAGATCGAGATCGGAAGCAGTTTGTTAAGCCTGTGACAGTGCTCAAGGCCGAGGAAGTGGCACCCCCCCAACCCACGACCTTTCAACCCCCACCTCCCCCCCTGGCAGACTACCCCGGCCACAAGAAGTTGCCCACTGTCGACATGTCGGACGACGGCAGCAACGACGGGTCCGACGGGACCGCGTCCAACTATGGCGACGAGGTATTATTGTCCTTTGACCCGAAAATTTGGACTTTTGTGTGCTGATTTTCGCCAAATCTATCGATTCTTGAATTTTGTATGAAAAAATGGTACCTGGTAACACACTAATTGAAGTCAAACACGAAATTGACGTTGGTGATATGTGTGGTTTCGTGCAATCTGATTGGTTCTTGTGTGCATTGATTTGGTTGTATTATTTCTCCATGTCACTCCAGTTTAGAAGAAACACAGTACAATATATATACTATCTACATTTAGTATAATATGGGACTTATTGCGCGTGGTTGTAGAACGATGTGCTGACTCAGATCAAGAACCTCAAAGATAAGCAAAAGACAACCAACCCATCATCGACCCAGCCGCCCCCTGTCGACTCGAAGAACCCGGTAGGATCAAGTTTATATATATATATATATAAACCCATGCCAAACTCATTCGTTCGTATTAGGTCGCCCAAGGCTTTGAACAGGTAGGGGGGGTACACACTGTACATGTCCAAAGCGGTCGACTTGGTTTGCCATGCATATATATATATATATATGCCATATATATATTGGTAATTAACGTGGGATGTAGCGCATGCTGGGCCTGAACGCTGCCAACAACCGCCACCGATCCGACTCATTGGGTATGTCGGAGCCGTCGGATTGGTCGGACGAAGACTAGTAAGACTTTCGAAGTTTGGCGGGCGAGGTGCCGCCGCTGCCGACTGTGGACGTGGCTCTTCGTGGGCTGTCGCTACGAGGCAAGTCGTGGCCAGGCTCGAGCTGCACGACGTACGTTTTCACGTTGGCTTTGATATCACAGTGGTAATGGCATTCAATTCCAAGTGCTTCGAGTTCTGTCTTGACTGCATCGGTCACCACGACCTTTCCCGCCACGCCGTTGCTTTCGACTTCGTTGGCCGTGAGCACATCTGGCCCCCACATGTCGTAGCGTAGCGTCGTGTTGCCGATCACGCCGCCGTAAATACGGCCGAGGTGGATGCCAATCCGCATTTGGAGCGGTTCGTTCGTGTTGGGGTCGTGCACCTAGGTGCAGCAGCACGTGGGACTCTATCGTTGGAAGCGAGCACAAATTACTACTAGTAGTAATATTACCTGCGCCACTTGGTGGATCATGTCGAGGGCCATGTGCAGCAGATTCTGCAGGTGCAGGTCCACTCGCATACATGGAGCGTTGGTCGTCGTCTGCTGCCGCGCTTGGTCTCGCTGGATTTCGCGGACGGCTGCATCTGCATTTGTGTCCTGGCGCAACAGCTTGGGGATGCCATCCTTGCCAGCGTCGGGCATGGCGGCGTCGACGTACGGCAGCCCCGACACGACCACATAAGCATCGCCGATGGTTTGGAGTTTGAACACGTTGTGCTTGTCTGTGAGCGTATCGAATGAGGCAAACGTTGTATCGAGCATGTGGATCACTTGCTCTGTGTTGGCTTTGGACGCGATGGACGTATACCCCTTGATGTCCGAGTACAAAATACCCACCTACATATATATATATTTCACAACCCGTTGAGAAACATATATATTTATCATGCTTGGCACGATAGTGTTGATCAGGGTGGAGCGTACGTTGACATGTTCGTCGCACACGACGTCGCCTTGCTTCATGCGACGCACCACGGCTTGGGGCAGGCGCTGGTAGAGCAGCTCGTCGGCTTTTGTGGTTTCGAGCTGGGTCCGTTGTTGCAGCCACAGCACCCGTCGATTAAAGAACTCAATCCGCCGCGACGTTGTCACATTTGCAATCGCCGCGCACGACGTTAAAATGATCGGATACATGCAATCGGACGTGCCTTGTCGGGTGTACGACAGCACAAAGACGGGAATGCTGACCGCCCACGCTGCCACGTTGAACCCAATGGCAGCCCGGTGGACGAGAGCTCCGCTGTTGGAGACGGCAAACATGACCCACACAACGTCCAGAGCTAGCATGTCGCCTTGTCTATCGGCGCCGCACGTTTGGACGGCCCAAATATGGTACGAGGCCAAGATAGTTATGCAGAGACATGCCACTAAGCATGTACGCGACAGCACCATCGCAGGTCGCCATCGAAGGACGCCAACTGTCGCCGCCACCATCGTAAGGCGCGACACGACGCTGAATACCAACAGATCCGAAGTGATCCGGTTGTCATCCACGCCCAGCACGATGTCTCGGACAAGGGCAAATCCACCCATGTACAGCCCCAGGGCGTACAACACGTACATGGCGGCCGTGTCCCGCGCGGCGGAGGTTGCCGCGACGAACGCCGCTTCCATGCTGGGCTCGGTAAAGTGCAGCCACGTGGGATGTACGTTGGCCGCCATGGCTACGTCGTGGCGATCGCCCGCTGTCGCCGCCGATGGTGCTGGTTTGGCCGGTCGCGGTCGAAGGAGCTGCCGCGCCGCATCAGACACGGGCTCCCCCAACAAGTATGTGGTCATGGGGCCTTTGCCTTTGACGTCGACATGTCTCGATTCAAATGAGAACGACGACTTGAGATGGAGGTGGGTAGCTTCCGACACTTGGACGGCACCAATCAGTCCAGTACTTTGCATACGCGAGGCAGTGTTGACGGTATCGCCGAAGAGGGAAAACTGCTGCTTCTTTCGGCCCACGAGGCCGCTCAGCACGCGACCGCTGTGCAGACCGATGCGAAGGGGGATGGTGGTGCCCCGCGGGGTTCGACATGTCGCCATGAGTCGGAGCATTTCTTGGGCCAAGCACGCCGCCCGAAGCGCGGCTAGTTGACCTCCGTCGACACCGTCAGACTGCATGCCAGCACACGCCATGTACGTTTTGCCCACAGTTTCCATCTTTTGCACTCCAAACCGCCCGCACATCTACCAATCACAAGTGAGTGGCGGTAGTAACCTGGACAACCCACATAGCATCGAGTTCACCATACAGTACGTATATATACCTCGTCAAAGAGCGAGTATATATGATCCAACAGCGCGACGACTTCGGCCGGGGCGTGGTCATGCATGAACGCGTGCAAGTCGACGACGTCGCAAAAAAGAACAGTCACGTGGGGCTCTTGTTCGGAAATGACGGCGTCTCCGGCCTTGAGCTTGGCCATCACGTGCGGCGGAAACATGCTCCGGAGCATATCCATGGCGCGGAACTCCTCAATGGCCAAGGCGCGATGCTGCAAAAAGTCGACTCGCATCGCATATTGCCTGCGCCAGCAGCCGTGGGCCGCCAGCCCCACCACGAGCGCAATGTAACACGTGAACGCGCCCAGTTCGATGGGGGACAAGCCAGCTGAAAACAACATTTGAAGCACGACGTATACGGCAAAGTTGCCCAGCACGAGCAACAAGGCTGCTGTGAATTGCACGTGGAGCATGGTGAGTACCACGATGGGAAACAGCACCGCCGACACATACCCCGTCACGGTAATCGTGGCCGACACCACGACACCCGTGACGGCCAACGGGACCATGATTGCAATGTGATAATGCTTGGAAAAGGTAGAAGTGCGAGTAAACTGGGCATACGCAAGGGCCAACACGACGATGATGAGTCTGGACACCAAAAATGACGTTGTCATTGCATGTTCTTGGCGGGCGTCTGGTTGTCGAACGCTGGGGCGTCGTGGGGGCGCCTCCGAATGGACAAGAGGAGGAGAGGGAACTCTGGGGAAGTTGGGAAACGTGGTGGCTGGACGGACAAAGTACTCGAGCAAGACACTTGCCAGCATGAGCGACGTGGCCACGTACACATAAAACCGAACCCGATGGCGTTCTTGCCGCACAACGCTCGCGTCGAATTCGCTCTCGAGGGCCACTCGTTGTTTGCCGACAAACGCCATTTTCGTCGGGTGCATCTTCGTGTCGGTTGCCGCGAGGAGGTTATCTTCGGGGTCGGCGCGGTGGGTAGCGTGGAGGCGTTGCAGTTGGGCGATGAGAATGGCGCATTCCGAGGAAGGTGGCGCCGTGGACATGGGGATGTCTCCGGTCGGAACGGGCGTAGGAGCCGGGGACTGGGGGCTGCTACGCCCCCCGCAGGAATCGCTTAGGGGGTCAGTTACAACGAGGCTGGCTGCCGGGGTATCTGGACAGGGAGCGACAATCTGTGGCTTGTCCGACCGGCGATTTGAGTGACTATCAATTTCTTGGAGGACATGGCGGTTCGAATAATAATAAAGTCGTTGAAACACAATGAACGCCACATCTGGCAAGATACTGGCGGACACGGCGACTAGAATTAAGAGCGTCACCGACGTCCAATGAGATATCAAGGCGGTGCCGAGGCCCGCAAAGTCGCGAGCCACTTGCAGGTGGGGCCACAGAATGTACAGATTCGAGCACACCCACACAACTACCGCAAACAGAACCGGGCCTACGGCGAGCGACGCCACGTGAACACGCTGCCACCGATGCCACCGATGCATCGTCATGGCGGCTTTGACTGTGATGGACAACAGAGTAGCACCAAAGACGATTGTGCCCAAGTAGAAAACCCCGCCTTGCTCCGACGGACTGCCTCGAACGGACGTCGTCATGATGTAGAGAATAATCGATGAATGCAACACGGCTGAGGCGGCCCAGAGAAGAAACTTGCGGGCGTGGAGGGGCTCCATTTCTTGGTAGATGGCGGGAAAGTGAAGGACCGTGGTGGTGGTGATGTCTTGGTCGACAATGCCAAACACAAACATAGGCGCGATTGTGAATAGGACGTTCCAGCCCACAATCAGGGATGAATCGATCAAAGTCTGGCCGGAAAAGCCCGTGAAAAATGAAAACAACCCGACGGTCGCGACCAGCACCAAGTTCTTGTACAAGGTGAAGAGAAGCACGTGCATGATACGGCGGTGGTTCCATCGGCCATGGAGGAGCAACAATGAACTCAGGAATCGGAACTCGGCTATGGCGAAGTCCGCCGCGCGTACGGTTTGATAGCCTTTGCGGCCGTAGAGTCCGACGCCAATATAGGCGGTTTGGAGCATCGGCACGTCGTTGCCACCGTCGCCAATGGCCAGCGTGACGTTCCCGGGGTCGTACATCTGGACCAAGCGCACCAGCGTGGCTTTTTGTGCTGGAGTCACGCGGCACGCTACCACAGTGCTAGCTTGGACCAGTAGCTCCAAGAGGAGGTCGGTGGGGACCTCGTAGTTTGCAGCCACGATCGTGTCCAGCGCAAGTCCGTGTAAAACCACCACGAGCGTCGGGATCACGGTTTCGGGGTTCCACAGCCCTTGTTTCTTCAACGCCCGGCGATGTTGAGTGATCTGGTCCAGGCATTCGTCCACCGAGGTGCCGTCTACGGACAGCAGGAGCGATTGATGGTGTTGCAAGAATGGCTGGCATTGCGAGGCGGCTGCTGTTGGAGGCGCACAGCCGGTGGTGTACAGCCCACAGGCGGAAGCAGTGGCCACGGCAGTCTCATCCTTGTCACCCGTGACCATCCAAATGCGCAAGCCAGCTTGGCGCAGCATGCCAATGCAGCTGGGAACACCAGTTTGAACGCGGTCTTCGATCCCCGTCGCCCCGAGAATGGCCATAGAGGGGCCTTCGAGAGCTTCCACCAATGCATCCCTGTCCTGCGATATGGCCACCTTACCAATCGATGTGAATTCGTCGCCCGTAATGAGACGGGAAGCAAACACAAGGGTGCGGAGGCCAGCGCATGCAAATTGTAGCACGTGCTGCGCTATTAACGTCACCGATGACTGACGCACACAACGGGGCATCAAAGCACTATCCGCGCCTTTGCAATATACCGTGGCCTGGTCTACAGCATTCAACGATATGAAAACTCTATCACAGAGTGTTGCGACAGCAGCATCCACGTACCTTCGCCTTGGCGCTGTACCAGCACCGACATGCACCTGCGGATGCTGTCGAATGGGTTGCATGCCAGCACAAGGTATGTTTCGACGTCACCAAAGATGGAAATCGTAACGACATTGCCGTTGCGACCTTGGAATGCGCAGTGCAACCTCGAGAAACCGGCTAATAGCGCCATTTCATCTGGACTGGACGAGTACAGGCGCTGGTCGTAGTACGTGGCAGCATGACAGAGCAGAACACATCGAGCCAAGGTTCGACTTGCCACGGTGTCTTGGAGTTGCGGTGTTGGAGTACTCTACATGGACAGTACCCAAACGTGAATTGAGATGCTGGTAATATCCATGCGATATATCAACACGAACATGGTCTACGATGGTGCCGTCAACACTGCACAATCGCAACGCCATAACGTTTGCTGTGAGGGTGCCTGTTTTGGCGGTGAAGACGTACTTGACTTGGCCGAGATCCTCATTCAAGTTGGCCGTGTTGGCTGTGACCAATCGACCAGTCACTGGACATGCCATGGACGTGTCTCGTTCGATTTGCTTGACTTGGAACCACTTGACCACGTCAAGCGTAATGTACAGTGACATGGGCACCTAAAGCAAGGACAGTAAGTATCTTCTAGTGGTCCTACTAGAGGTAGCCATATCAAGAGATTCGTACCAAGTGGCTGTACAAAATAAGGTACGTGATCCATAGCGACCCAAACTGCATCCCCGGTTCATTTTCAAGCCCGAATGTTCCTACAACATGCGCTGGCTGCTGCAAAAATCCTTGACCGGCGGCAGCGCTGGCAGTGACCAACACCACAAGCACACCAATCAGGGCGCCAATGCATCGGTTCGCGACACGGTCGATCTGGCTAAACTTGGCCATGGGTCGTTGACAGTGTTGCAGCAGCTTTGTGTCGTGCCCAGTGGCCAAGACGATCCCAACCACCCATTTCGTACGGCATAACATCGTGCCTCGCAAGAGGACGTTGTCGATCGTGAATTTAGTGGCGTCCTCGATCGTTCCAGAGCCACTTGTGATGCTGCCGCCCATGACAAGCAACGACGGGTTGGGGGTGTCACAGCAGATTTGCCGACCGTGGTACGGTTCGAGCGACATTGTTGTTGAGGATGAAGTGTTATCAAGGCACTGCTTCAACTTGGGATGGGCCGCACCGTCTAGACCAGACGTGTCCACATATGCTGATGATTGACTAGCGTCAGCAGCGTTGTCCTCGGTACTGCTTTCACCAGACACGACCAGGAGGAGGTCGGCGGGCACAGAGTCCCCATCCATCACGCGGACGATGTCGCCTACCTCTAGAGACTGCCACGTCACGACCTCGAACGATGACCGGACGAGGCGATGGGTGGTCAAGAGGTTGACCGTCGCATCAGCGACATATCGACGGCGGTCCTCGATGGCGTCTTTGACCATGGTTACAGCCAACACAATGACAAACGGCAACACCGTCGAGTACGTGTTGGTGGGCGACAACGACGATGTTGTGAGCTGGAGGACAGAGATTACGAGAAAGTAGACGTTGGCCACTCGTCGAAACTGCTCAAGCAGGTTATGTGGCACGAAAGTCAGGATCGAGTACTTTGATGTGCGCATGACATTCGTGGGGTACGGTGGCTGGCAATGGCCCGTGCAGTGCTCACGTGTCCGCGATCTGTCGTGGACGAAAAACACTCGATCCGCCTCGGGCGCCACGGACAAGAGCCTCTCCAAGTTCTTCTTGGCAGCATGCGCTTTAAGGCCCTGTGGCAGCTGCACGGTCGCCATATTATTTCAAATGCAACTGATTGCAATGGATGAGTGAGATCCTAGCGCCTGTCGGTTACAATTTGGCACAAATGGCATACTACGTAGTAAAATGGAGTGTACTCAAAATATTAATACTACTGTTTTTTTAGATGTTTGCGTCCAAAGTGGGAAATCGGAAACCCAGTTTGGGCAAAACTCGCAAATTCTGTTCTGACAGTTTATCTGCCGACAGTTCAACGTCAGTTTCTGAAATTCTGAATTGTACATCAATCCCAATTTTCAAAATGCTGCGATTGTTCTGTGTCGTTGTCGGAGGTGTCGGTAGTCCTTTCTCCGTGACTGTCCCTGAGGATGAGGTCGTCGATGGTCTCAAGGAGCAGATCGCGATCAAGAAGAAGTACCAATTTCCACCCGATGAATTGGACCTGTATATGGCGACGAATGGTGCCGGATTCTCCACCATGGACGCACAAGCGGTGACACTCCACCGTCTGCATGGCGACCTTGAAGCGAATCTGCGAGCCTTCAAGAAGATGGACCCGTTGCTTTCAATCAAGAAAGTATTTCGAGGCACTTTTCCACCAAACAAAGAACAAGTGTACGTGTTCGTGGTCGTCCCCAAGCATGCCGTGGCTGCCCCGACGCGGCGATTGTTCTGTGTCGTTGTCGGACGTGATGGGGGTCCTTTCTCCGTGACTGTCCCAGAGGATGAGGTCGTCGATGGCCTCAAGGAGCAGATCGCGATCAAGAAGAAGTACCAATTCCCAGCCGACGAAATGGATTTGTACATGGCGACGAGCGGTGCCGGGTTCTCCAGCGCAGGCGCATCAGCGGTGACACCTTACAACCTTTATGACCTGCGAACCTTCACGAAGATGAACCCATTGCTTTCAATCAAGAAACTGTTTGGAGGCACTTTCCCACTAACCGAAGAACTCGTCTACGTGTTCGCGGTCACCGTCGAACCAGAAGAGGTTGGTGTGAGTCCACGCAAGGTACACCAAAGAGACCAGAGCTATTTGGCGATATCGGATATGTCGACGGCTACCGTGGTTGAGTTGGGGTACCGCTTGGAATCAACCAGCGTGCCAGCAATTGAAGCATCCGCGACACTGAGTATTCCCGACTTCGAGTGGATCGAAAAATTGGGTAAGTGGGATCCGACCAACATCCAGAAATACCAGCAATACGTTGCCGACATGCTGCGGGACTTTCTGGATCTGGCAGTGAAGACTACAGTTCCCTGTGATCTCGACGCCCGTTTGAGCAAATGCCACCGCGAGCTTAAAGGAGCGTCAGACTTGTACGTCATCCCACATGCATGTGGAGACTTACTTGGCCGAAGCGATGTGGTGGTGCTGATGGAGTTGACACAATCGGAGAACCTTTCGGAACAAGATGTCGCTCGGACGGTGGGGTGTATGCTGGCAGCGAACACCATCTTCGACAAGGAAGTGTATCGACCTACTCCTGTCGGCGTGGCGACGAATCTGCGGGACGAATGGCTTCTATTTTGGGTTGGCCCACGCGGCCAGATTTGTATGGCCGGTGTGGACAGCAACAACGAGAAACTCTCCCGGGAGACTGCGTGGCATTACATTCGAAAGCACTGCGCATACGTCAATTCCATTTACGAATCCCGATTTACCAAGCGTGAAACCGTCATTGACGAATCCAAATCTCCGACACCACATCCTGTGTTTGGGGGCATCAATGCGGGGTTTTTGACCAAGTAGTACCATCTTGGAGGATGAAGACAACAGTAACTTTGCATAACGTGACTCGGAATTTGAAATTCATAACATGGCGTATGTGCTGGAAACCCCCATGGTTCCACATGCCCCATCGTTTGCCTTCAACTTCAATCCAAACAAGTTTGGCTATATTACACTATACTTAGGTTTACATATCTCAATTTTGCCCTATTCGACGACTTGATTGGCCAGGCGGTTCATCACTTAATTTGACAAGTTCATTCGATTTGACAGGGAGCTTGAATAATATTATTAGTATCCGACTACTAGAGAACATATACATTGTTCACCAATATTGTCTTTGACCGGTTTCCGCCTGTGTTGAAGTGGTCAAATGTCCATTTTCAAAATGAAGCGATTGGGTTGTGTTGTTGTCGGATGTCCCGGGAGTCCTTTCTCCGTGGCCATTCCCAAGCGCGACGATGTCGATGGCCTCAAGGAGAATATCGCCATCAAGAAGAGGTACCGATTTCCAGCCGACGAAATGGATGTGTACATGGCGACGAACGGCGCCGGGTTCTCCAGCGTAGCCGCAGCAAAGGTGACACTCGACCAACTACATGACGCGCGAGCCTTCAAGAAGATGCACCCATTGCTTATGATCAAGAAGAGCTTTGGACGCACTTATCCAAAAACCGACGAACAAGTGTACGTGTTCGTGGTCGTCCCCAAGCATGCTGTGCCTGCCCCGACGCGGCGATTGTTCTGTGTTGTTGTCGGACGTGCTGGGAGTCCTTTCTCTGTGACCGTTCCCGAGGACGAGGTCGTCGATGGCCTCAAGGGGAACATCGCGATCAAGAAGAAGTACCAATTCCCAGCAGACGAAATGGATTTGCACATGGCAACGAACGGCGCCGGGTTCACCACTATCGACGCACAAGCGGTGACCCCCAACAACGTTCATGACCTGCGAGCCTTCAAGAAGATGGACCCATTGCTTTCAATCAAGAAAACGTTTGAAGGAACTTTCCCACCAAACGAAGAACAAGTCTACGTGTTCGTGGTCGTCCCCAACCAAGCCCTGAAGCAGCACAAGCAAGACGACGCAAGACCCATCGCGATATCGTCCTTGTCGCTGCCGGCAATCAAAAACTTGGGGTATCTCATGGAACCAACCAAACTACCAGCGGTTGAAGCCCCCCCGTCACTCTGCCCTCGTGAGTTTAACTGGATCAAAGAACTGCCAGAGAGCCACCCGACGAACAAGGAAAACTATCTGCACTACGTTGCCGACATGCTGCAGCCCTTTCCAAACCTCGCGGTGAAGCCCAAGATTCCACACGATCTCAACACCTCTGTGGGCGAATCCCAACGCGAGCTTACGGGAGCCTGCGACTTGTACGTCGTCCCACATGCATGCGGAGACTTACTTGGTCCGACCGATGTGGTGGTGTTGATGGAGCTGAAAAAATCGGAGAAGCTGTCTTCCGGCTATGTTACTCAGACCGCTGGGTACTTGATTGCAGCGCACACCCTCTTCGACAAGCAATCGTATCTACCTACTCCCGTCGGCGTGTTGACGAATCTGCGGGACGAATGGCTTCTATTTTGGGTTGGACCACGTGGCCAGATTTGTATGGCGAGTGAGGACAGCAACTACGAGAAACTCACCCGAGAGACTACGTGGCATTACATTCGAATGCACTGCGAATACGTCAACTCCATTCTCCAAGCCCGATGGGGCAAAGGACCACCCGTCGTAGAAGAGTCCGAAGCTCCTCAAACTTTCCAGGCATTTGGGGTTAGCGACATCGTGGCGGGTCATTTGAAGCCGTGCGCACCGTTGGAGTAGTGAAGAAACAACTTGGTAGCCCTTCAACACCCCGGCTGTGGACCTCGCGTTTAGCATGGCGTTAACAGTAAATCAGAACACAAAAAATACTAACGTGAGTAGTAATAACTGTTAGCTGTTAACTTGTCACAACACGGAATAATGCAACGGCGACGACGATGGTTCACCTTGCTTCCGCTTTGCCCCCACAGACACAACCTCCTGCCGCAGCTTGCGCACTCGCTTGTCATGGATGCCATAGTGGATCTCCATGATGTAGCTTGCCGCCGTGAGCGCTTCTTCGCCTTTATCGGTATTGCCCACATTGAGCAAGTAGTGACCTTCAGCGACCATGGCATCGGCAGCTTCGACGCTAAACTCACCGTATCCTATTTCGGCTGCCTCCACCATGTTGCGGTAGATCGATGGTGTGTCCACATGAGCGTCGCCGTTGGCTAGCTGGAGCCAGCCACGCCAGGCATCGATCGCGTTCGCGGCTGCATCCCGTCGAGTTGTTTCCGAGTCGAGGAATTGACTCGCATGGGATTTGAAGAACGTGGCGGCTTCATGCAGTAGTGTCATGGCATCGACCTTTCGCTGCAGGTGCATGTGAACTTTGGCCAAGTGCATGCGAAGAAAGGCGGAGGCTGGCACGGCGCCGTCACAAGCGGCTTCAAATGTGTCGATGGCCTTGGTGTAGTAGCCCACAGCTTCATTTGGTTCGTTGCGAAGAATGTACACATTGCCGAGTCCAGCGTAGGCAATGGCCGTGTTGGCATCTTGTCGGCCATAATGCTGCTCTTCCAGCGTCCACACGTGGACGTAGAGCTCCGTGGCCTCGTCTAGAAATGCGGAAATGGAGGTGGCGGGATGGCTATTGCTGCCAACCCCGCCATGCTGGTGACGATCGCGCAGATTTTGTCGTGCCAGGGCCTCGACTTCTTTTTTCGATGGCAACTTGATCGTTTTCTGTTTTTGCATGAACGACTTGGCTCGCGACGACTGATGGACATCTTCGAGGATATGCAACGCTTCATTCCGACACGCAGCCACGCCTTCCTCCGACAGACACCACTTGTCAAACGATTGGTCGTGAGCGTCCTTGGCCACTTGCAACGACTGCGTATGCTTGAGGCATAGGGCGTCGGCCATCGCGACGAAATAGTCGACCATGTCATGGTTGTCTCGCCCCACGACCACGACTTGCCCCGCCACCGCGCGTCGCAGCCACAAAATCGCGTCATCCACTTGACCCCGCTTCATGTGATACCTAAACGCACGTGAGGGACAATGGAACATGAAGGGGCTATCTCTCACCGTCCGTGCAGCAGCAACGTTTTGCACTGCATGCCGGCGCGGGCGGCGTTGATGGTAGCGCGACTGGCAGCCTCGACCAGTTCGGGCCAAGTGATTTGGAGGGCTCCTTGTGCTGTCGGGGGGGACTTCACGTAGTGGCCGATGCGCTGAACGTCAGCAGAGTTGTGGGTGAGCAAGACGTCGCTGATCGAGCCGGACGACACCAGGTGGCTGGTGGTGTTTATCTCGTCCAGGGAGGTTTGAACTGACTGAAATGCAGTCGTGAGTGCTGCCAACACCTCGGGTTGCATCGTTCGCTCGAGATGACGCAAGTACGACTGAAACGACGCGTCTTGCGTGTGCAGGTACCTATCGTACATTGACCCAACTAATTATAACGAATGCCCTATGGAATTTGATGGGGTTGTATGTACCGTACATACCAAACAACTTGATCCCATCGAACAAACCCAGTGGCATCCACATCGATCGCATCCAACGTTTCGTCGGCGACTTGTGCGTCGCAAAGCGCAGTAAACCCGTTGGTGGACCCGCCACTGAACGTTGTGCCTTGTACGAGCTGGAAGTAGTCGCTGGCACCGAAGGCAGCAACGATGTCGTGGCGACTACACAATCCGGCAGCCGCCCCCATCTTGGAAAACAGCGCTCGTGCGTGATGGAGTTGGGCATCTGTCGTTCGACTTGCATGCCCCTTGACCATTGAGCTTGGGCTCTTAAGGGGCGACGACCCACCAGGCGACAGACTATTCAAGACACCGTCGTCTTCGTTTAAAATGGCCTCTGCCACTCGCGCATGATCATGGCACTGCTTCCACAAGCCCGCCCGCATGTAGCTCTCTGCGAGCGCGAGTTCCGCGCCGATGCACTCGACGCTCGTCGGCCCAAACGCCAACTTGGTCACCGCCACGAGCCGCATGTGGCTGCGAAGGAATCGCTCGTACAAGTTGACGCCGTTGTCGTCGTACAAGTGATCGATCGACACTGTGCGAGGCGTGAGGTGCGCCACGGGGGGATGCGACCCGCCGCCGGTTGTTTTGCAACCAAACCGGACCGAAAACGGCCGTGCAAACTCGCCCAACTTTGTGTGGCTGCACGTTTCCAGCATCGCCAACTGAATGTTGAGCGATGTGATCTCCGACACGGTGTCGACATAGCGTTCGTACGCAGATTTGAACGGCAATGTGGTCGACGGCGGCATGGCGGAAGGTCCATCCGACGCCATTTCGGATGATATTGCATTGGCAGTTTCACTGAAACGCCACGCATTTCACTTGTGCGTTCAATCGTTGTCCGCATACTGTACATTATTACTACGTAACTTAGTACTATAATGCGTAGTACCGGTATTATTAATATATTACCGATTGGCAAACACATGAAGCGTTAGAATTTATATACTATTAATACAGCCGTACTATATATTAATACGTACTATTAATAGTAACGTTAACGTTATGGGCGAAGTTCCGTGACAACTTACAGTTAGTTTCGTGCCACGATGCATGATTGGTAACGTTAGAAAACAATCACTCTGAAATTTTCAGCCAATCAGACACAATTTTTGGCACAAAACTGGATAAAATCAAGTGGCTCGAAATTGTTTTCAGCCTATGGATATTTCCACTCATTTAATTCATTTTCCACCAACACTAATACGAATTTCGACTTGATTTAAAGTTCTACGAACTGCATTAATTCTCCTCTTTAAGAAACACTGTTATAATAGCAATTTGGAGTAAAGGAACCCCTCCATCGAAGAGTCCCAAAAAGTGTCACGGAACTGCGCCCATACTATTAGTAGTAACGTTATTGTGGATGTCCGTCGTTGTTCCTTCCAGTACCCCCGTACACAAACACACAAACATCCTACTGGAATATCTATCACCTTGGCCATCTCATCCAACTATCAGAACGGCCCGGTGGAAATGTGCTCATCTCTGGAACCTGGGCTAGTACTTTCAGCCAGAACCCGGCCAACTATCGTATGCCACTGCAAGATCAAATGCACAGGCTAGCCCCGTTGGATGTCCCCAACTTGTTGGCACCATTTGCCCCAAGATCGTCCGACGAGGTTGTGGACAGGTTCAAGTTGAGGTACACATACGCCGCTTTCATGGCTTGGTCTTCGTTGAGGATCTTGTCGTTGGCTATTTGCATGGCATCAACTTTGGCTCGTTTGGCTCTGGAAATGCCGGCCGACGCGGGGAAGCAGAGCACGCGAAGGGCCACTGTCTGGAGGTGGGGACACGAACTGCCGAGAAAGCCCTTCCACCACTGCAGCGGCGAGCCCTGCTTGGCTGATTCCCACACGGCGTCGTCGGCAAACACGCCGGCACAACGGCCGGTGTACCGCGTGAGCTCTGAAATCAAGTTGGCAAAGAGAGCGGGGGACGACAGGTGCTTGAGGAACGTAAGTGCCTCGTTCATTTCGTCGTTGCCTAGCGAAGATGGAGAAAACCGCGGGTCCAGCAGGTACGCCGTGTACATGGCGGGGTGGCGCATCGTGGCCCAGTGTTTCGACACGATGCGCGTCACGTCCGGGGACAGTTGGACCGGAAACGACTGGAGGTGGGTCCACAACAGCGTAAACTTGTGGTAAAACGTGGCCAGCGACGTAAAATCGCCGCTTTCGAGCGTCTCTAACACGTCTACAAACGGCGCAAACATCGTCTTGAACTGCACCACCGAGCTCCACCACGCGAGGTTGCTCAGCTGGTCCCTCAGCGACAAGTCGAGTGAGTCGAGCGCTCCAAAGTCTTCGGCTAATAGCACATCGAACACGTGGCGGTACCGTTCCATGGCCCAGAGGCAGGCCAATATGGACGTCGGCGGCGGTTTCGAGTGTCCATCCGGGATGTCCACAAGCCCAAAGAAACACGAGCTGCTGGTGGTGGCGGTGGTGGTACCCGAAGCAGCAGCAGCATGCTGGGTCGCATTGGCTGGGTCTTCGATGTTGAGTTCGTGGGCGACGCGGGCAAACCGAGCCTTGTGGAGATGGTTGCGGCTAAAGTACGCAGACACTCGAGTGCAGACAGTGTAGAGGCTGTGGAAGACGGGAAGCTCCAGCAGCTCCGTCATCATGGCATCAAATGCGTGGGCGCAGGACGGCAGGACGGTCAGATGGGGGTACTTGGTGAGGAGGAGGTCGGTGGCGTCCTTCATGTTGGGACTAGTGACGACATCCGAGACGACCGTCGACACTTTGTCGAGGCCGATCGATAGCACGAACGATTCCATGCGCTGGAACAATGTCGTGGTCGTGTGCGCGTACTCTCGCGTGGCGTCAAGGCAAAACATCGCCGGTTGCGGCGTGTATACCATGCATGACAGCACGGAGCGATTGTGGAGGAACGACCAGCTCTCGATGCCCACGCACACGGACGCCATGTCGTTTAGGTCGGAGAGGACTTGGGCTTGCAGGTCGTGGAACTCGGCGTCCAGCTGGGTCAACGTCAATGAGGTCGAAAGTGGGATCGACGGCGCCACACGCTTGATGAGACGGGCGAACGATGGATCTTCAATCACCGACACGGCAAGGCCCGCGCCGAAGATGGCCCTAGCTACGAGGCTTTGAACGTCTTGCTTGTCCAATGGAGATAAGACACTGTTGCCATGTTCTGGGAACACCCCTTTCCGCTTCTTCGACTTGGCACTGTCATTCATCATTGTGGATGACGAGTGGAGCTTATACGACGATGTGGGGTCGAGCGATGCCAGAAACGTTGCCCCTCCGCCGCCGTTGGCCATGACCGCCGCCTTTTTCGCCCCGTCCGAGTCCATGGAGAGCATCTCGAGGCGGACAGAAGGAGGACAGTCGGGACATCGCTTGCCCAGGTGCACACGCATGCGGTTGACTAGACCGACCATGTTGTGGTGGCAGAACTTGCAGATGGCTCGCCTCTGCGTGTCATCGCGACGAAAATGCGCCCACACCGAATCTGGCGGGCGTGGCATGGTTGCTTTGGTAGTGAAAAAAAACCAAGTGAATAAAACGCCACCATACTCAACGACAGTATATTGTAGGCGAAAGAAACAGAGAGCGGTTGAAATGTGATCTCAGCGTTTGAAACAATCGTTTCGAACCTGTTTGTTTCAGTTTTAAACCCTGTCGGTAGGTCGTTTGATGCTGTTATGAAACGTCTGGAACCAGTTTCGAGACATCATTACAATCCGGTTAATTATCCGTATTCTCATGACTGGTGAATGCATGCCACCACTTTTGTCCGCAAGAACCAAGGAGCAGCATGAGCGGTCGCATCAGCCGTCTTGGACACACCGCGTACCATGTCGTGGACGCCAAGGGACAAGTCGTAGGTCGCCTGGCATCTCAATTGGCCCCCATCCTGCGGGGAAAGCACAAACCCACGTACATGCCCAACGTGGACTGCGGCGACGTGGTCGTAGTGTTGAACGCCGAGCACATTGTGCTGACCGGTAACAAGTGGAGCGACAAGCTGTACAGATGGCACACGATGTACCCTGGTGGTCTGAAGACCCGCACGGCGCAGCAGATCAAGGACAAGGACACGACCGACATCCTTCGCAAGGCCGTGATGGGCATGTTGCCCAAGAACAAGATGCGCGCGTTGCAGGTGGACAAGTTGAAGATCTTCCCTGGCGACGAGCACACGTTCCACGCTGAATTGGGGCCCAACCCCAAGTTCCTCTAGAGTCATTCCAGGAAGTACTATATAACAGAATTCATCAACACGACGTCATTCAACATGGATATCTTCCCCTCGTGCTGCATCTGTCCGAGGCTGTTCAGCCTACCGACGTGCCCCACATGCTGTCTTCCGCAATGTAGCAGATGCATGTAGCCCTGCGTCAATATCCTCAGACCAAACAGGCTGCTGCTAGCCTGTACGTACGTACATACGTGGCTGGTTACAGTGGCTGGTACTCGAGTACCTACCGTGAGCTTTGGCCGATTCAGTACCCCAGACATACAGTAGCACATATCTCCCCAAACTCGTCGTACTATTGAGCATTACTGGTTCCTAGTACATGTGCCATCTTATCATGTCGCGCCCCTAAATATCTTCTGTTCGCATATGTCGACTTCATACGCCCAGCATATTCGCAGCTCCTGGTGCTGCTGCTGGTGGCGGTTGAATTTCGTCCTCTAGCAACGAAGCACCCCTTGGCCCTTGATCGGCAGGCAGCACCTCGTTGTGTTCCGCTGCTGTAGGAGTCGGCGGCACTTGAGCCAGGGAGCTGAGGAACCCCGCTACTTCCAGCACGTCCCCGTGCTCGACCTTATTGGACTGTACCTTGGCAAAATGGGCATACGCATGCGTCCGGATCTGGTCGCGGCTCTTGGTCGGCACATGCTCTTGCACCTTTTTCCACTTGCGGCCGTGCTTTTCGATGCCTGCAAGGAATAGCCGATGCTCGTCGTCGCTCCACTTGGCTCGCTTGGCGCTGTCCATCTTGTCGGCGTCCAGCTTGGGCGCGATCGAGAAATCCCATGGCACTGAACATTGTTGGGAGGCAGGCGTTTGCAGGAACCGATGATGGCGGGGGACGTCGTCTTCGTCGTCGTTGTCGGCACCGGCGGCACCGTCGTCGTCGTGAAGGACAACATGGGGCTACGGATCGTCGATGAGATCTCACCAAGACAAGTTACATGTACGAACATACCTGCGAACCGGAGCCACGACGGATGTACTTGAGGTTATACCGCTGCAAAGCTTCGCAGCTCACCATGGCCAACGCATTCACGCCGGCAAAAAAGTCGGAGGACGAGGAGGAAGATGGTTTCGGTGTGGTTGATTGCTTGCGTTTCTTGGACAAGGGTCCTACAGATGTGCATCCATCCCATGGGTTAGACTCGGGCATGAACGAGCCAAGTACCTTTGGAAGGTTTAGAGGCTACGGACTCGGGCGACGCCCCGTGCCTCGTGTGAAATGCCGAGAGCTGGTGGTTCACATACGATTCGTTCTGTTTACGCTTGAGCATGGATTCCTGTCGCCGTTCTTGCATGTCCAGGAGGCGCTTGCGAAGCAACATCTTGATGTCGGCATCCGACAAGTCCTTGATCTTGTCTTCAAATCGACTGCGGTTCGTTGGGGGTGGCGATGGGGGGACGACAACCGCTCCTGTCACGTACGACCGAGCCAAGAGTGTGGTGGCGTCGACGGACTTTGTTACTTTGTTGGCTGTGTTGGGTTCGTGGGTGGCACAGTTTTCATCCTGCGTCGATGCCTACGAAGAACCAAGTTGTCAAGGGATAGACAACTCGTTGAAACTTACTTCAGAAGCATGATAGACTTGTTTGCACTTGACGATGTCGTCGCTAGTCGAGTTGGTGGGACTGACGACTGGGCCAACGCTCCCAGCAGGTAGAAACGACGACACTAGAGCAGTCCCGCCGCCAGGGAGGCTGTCCGTGGACGATTTCATTTGGTCGGAAATGATAGAACCACTGGTCTGCATGGATTCCAAGCTGCGCAGGTCTTTTCCCGTCATCATCGTCTTGTAATGCAACGACGCATACTCGTACACTTCCTGGACGGTTTTAGAGTCGACGACGCGCGCGATGCGGTTCCAGTCCGATCCGTACTGCTGTAGCCCCGACATGAACTTGGAGCGTTCGTCGTCGGACCATCGAGTGTTTACATCCTGCATGAGGCCGCCCATCGACTCAATATGTCCTGTGCTTCTAGTCGGCGCGGCGGTGAGGTTGGTGGATGCAACTTGCGATTGCAAAAGTGAACTGCTCGAATCTATTGGGACGTTGGAATAAAATTATACTTGATATTTGTATTCAACCTACCACGTTGCCGTCCTTTTTTTCTATTTTTCCCCCTCCATTCTCCCTTGCGAAAACCTATGGCCGACCCTCTCTCTTGCCGTTTGTATGCCGGCAAAATGTAACCGGAAGTCTCATTATCCGGATATATCCCGCAAGCCAATCACAATTCATCGTTGGTGGATGAACCCGATAAAGTGCGCATGTAACCGTCGGTAACGGCTACAACCTGGCAATCTGGTCGGTGGCGTTGACGGCACCATCGATCGACGTTGGCTTTGCCATGCTCTTGAATCACTAACATCAGTACCAGTATGGTTTAGAGGCCCTGGTTGAGTAGGTTTCACGATGAGCAGTCGCGGCATCTGTACTGGTATGAGGTGTGCATTTATATGATTTCGGCTAAGCTACATATCGGTTGGCGGATCATGACTCATCAGTAAGGGTTTGAGTTGTACTTCGAATCCTCGTGTCTGCCAATTTTCGATTGATGATTGAAACTCTTAGCGTTCAACAGTAGTAGTAGGTAGCAATCCGCACTGTACTCGGCCCCCGGCCTTGCACCATGGTTGCAGTTCCCGTCGAGAGAATGGGAAATAGGATCGTCAACGGATTTTGGTACGAGATAGATAGACTTGAACAAGTTGTGGATATTTGCAGTGGCAATCGTAACGTTAGCCATCGCTACTGGCAATTGTACTACGTAGTAGTTTGGAATACTTTGTGTTTGCAACGTCGAAGTAACGTTGACGTAAAAAATCAATTTAAAAATACTCTCATCGGCAGATTTACATAGTTTAACCGAGATATTTATTAGCAGTACTACAGTACAGTACCACTACTTTAAAAATCTACTACGTAGTATACCAGTATTCAAGAACCAATCAAATAGCGCAAAAATACTGGAAGCAAACGCTTGAAAATTGATATCCTCTTGATGTCTATCCGCAAGGGATACATGATGCGAATATATAACCCATGAAAACCGATTGTCTTTCCTCTATAACATAATACCCTAACACGAAATTTGTAAGCAAAGGTGGTAATGTTAGCAAATTTACTGTTAATTTGTTCTTTATGTTTATCTCATGCAAAAGTTACGACTGCAAAACACAATAACGTTAACGTTAACGTTACAATCTCCAAGTTTCAGAGCTTGAAAATGTTTTCTCAGCGTGGAGATTCAGAAGTTCTCCTTCCACAGATGTGTCGTAAATTGATTTTTTACGTACAGTCCATGTGTGGCGTATAGTTTTAGCTGTGTTGCAACCCGCCGAGAGTATTTGATGAATAGTACTACTAGTACGGGTACTAGTAGTAGGGTGATTTTTTTGATGATCGTAGTACAATACTGTTCAACTACGGGTTTATCGAAGTTCGAAGGCCTTCGTTGCCTGTCGTATGTTAGCGTGAAGGGCGACAGACCAACCTCAGCACTTTCGCCTCCGACTCGCTCACATGGTTCGCCTTTTCCTCGGAGCTCTTCTTGGAGGGATATCAGTGCTCTCTAGCAGCGCCACCGCCACAGGTGTTTGTTCAGGCAATCAGTTTGAAGTGTCGCTGCTTGGTAGTGCTAGCATCTACTGCGTCGACGAAGTTCCATGCTCTGGCAACTACGTCGACGGCCAAGACATTCCTAATCATGCCTGTCCTGGTGTGGGTCAACTTTCCGTGTATGGAAGGCATCAGGTGGCGGCTCCAACATGCTGTGGCATCATCAACTCGACGTCAAACGTCATTGGATGTGTGTTCCAGTCGGCAAAGTTTCAGTGTGTGGGGCCACTCCCACCGGCCGTCCCGACTTCGTCGCCGCTTCCACCGCTTGCTCCAGGGGCCAAAGAACTCAACTTTCAACCCACAGTGTTGCCAAGTACGCAAAAGTCCATTGCCACCTTGGCGCCCACCACCACACTTGCCACCACGGACGCGCCTCCGATGACGGCAACGCCCACGACTACAGTCACCGCTGAGCCAACCACAGTCGCTGCCACGACAACCATCCAACCAATCACCACTCCAGTTGCTGCCGCCATCGTCGCCAGCTCGGCTCCCGTAGCGATTCGTGGCGGCGGAGCCAACCCCGACAAACAACAAATCGGCGCCGTCGTCATCGTCCCTTCCAACTCCACCGCCCCCTCCTCCACAACTACATCCATCCCTCGCGACAGCATTGTCCCCGTGACGTCGACGCCGTACCCGGCTTCGATTCCGGCCATTCTCGAAGACAACATCACATCGATCGTGATCAACGGTCCAGGCCGCGTGTTTGTCAGCAACTGGACGCAGTTCCTCCAAGCGTCGTCGTTGTCCTCTGACGAAGGCCCGTCCGAGTACCAAGTCGGATCGGTGGCCATCTCCGGCACCGCGCTCAACGAATTCCTCGTCCTGAACTCGACCGTCGAAGCCGCGTCCTTGGCGCTGCTCCAGATGTACAACACCACAGCGATCGATGGCGTGCTCACCATCAATTTTGAGCGGCACAACGCAGCAGACGTAATCGACGGCCAAGTGCTCATCGAGATCTTCGTCAAGTTCCCCGTCGTCACGTCCGTGGTCGTGTCTGGCCTCGCGGAAACGTTCGTGGACCGCGGCGTGCTGGGCGGCGCCGACCTCGTACTCTCCACGGGCGACGGCAACATGGTGGCATTTGTCAACCAGTCGGCTGCATCTTCGATCGACTTGCGCTCCACCGGCGACGGAACCCTTCAGGTGCGCGCGGCGTCGGCGCTCAAGACAGTGGACTCCCTCGTAAGCCGCACCAACGGATCGGGGGACGTCGTGTACTTTGTGTCGACTCTTGCGGTGCGCAACCTCACGAGCATCTCGTCTGGCCCGGGGGCTATTCACATTTACGCGTCGAAGCTGGACCTGAAGAACGTCACGAGTCGCGTGTCCAAGAGCGGGGATGTCGTGTTTGCCAGCGGCTCGGCCATGTGCAAATATCACGCGGTGGACATCTCGGGCAGCGGGTCCGTCGAAGCTGGCCGGGTGCTTTGTGTGGAGGCAATGGTTAAGGTCGCGTACACTGGGAGGGGGGATGCCGTCGTCCAGGCCAGCTACATGATCTCGACTGACGTCCGCGGCCCCGGCAACGTCTTGTACTACAACACAACGCCCAAGGTGTACCCGACGTACAAGAAGCACTTCTTCCTTACCCAGACACTCAAAGCCAACGTGAGCGACGCCAAGGTGGGCGTGCCGAGCCCCCGAGAAGCGCTCGAGTTTCACCTCGGCCAGCCCGTGGGCAACTCGTGGCTCGGCATGCTCTCGGCCCTCAACCTTGACCGCATCATCTTGTACGGGTGCATTGTGTTTGTCGTGATCGCCGGCGTGGTTGCCGGATCCAAGTGGTACAACATCTACAAGGCTCAAAAGAACGCTCGAGGCGAGTACCAGTCCCTGCAGTAGTAGGCGGCACACATGCCATATATACATACTCTTGAAGAAGACGTGCCCAATATGTAATCGATTAAAGGGGTGCAACCATCAACCATCAACCATCATATACTTTGGACGTGTGTATACTTACTAGTACTTCAAGGTACTAGTACTTTGAAGTAGTAGTACTAAGCAAGTTCCAACCGTGATGTTGCTTGGAAGGAATGACTGCACAGATCGCAAGATAACTGGACTTTGGCATGAGGCCGAACACCGACCGGCTCATGCAGTCAACTCGTGATCCACACATATACAGGATAGATATAATATATACATTGTATATATTATATATATATTCTCGTCAGGGCGGGTTTATCGAAAGAGGTTCTTGAGTTTCTGAGACGTCGACGGCCCCCCCTTGCGTCTGGACGATGGAGGACTGAGGCTGCCCCCCGAGTGAGGTCCAGATGTATCATCTGCCTTGGCTTTGTTGGCCAAGAACGACCGGATCATGGCGTCGGCGCTGGCGGCCGGCCCGACCAGGTATTTGTCTTCGGGTTGGTTTCGAATCGCGTCCGTCGGTTCATGTCGAAACACTTTATCCCATTTCTTGTGTTTCTTTAGAATGTGGTGCGCCAGCGCTCCTTGCGTGCGATGCTACATGGGCATTATGTTAACAAGTCTACGAGGCAGCACATCTAGCGCAGCAGCTGCCACGTCATACTCGACTTTATGCATACAGTACTTGGCAACCAACAACCAATGAAGTACCATATATATATTGCCGCTGTATAGCCAACCATATCTGTCATCAGGTAAAACATGGCCACGATATGGCAAAGTGCAGTTTGGTCGTATACCTGTTCCAAGTAGTTGAGGATTGCAATGACGGTCGTGCGGGTCAGGATCGGATTGACCACGCGCTGCAAGGTCATAGGATGTTCGATCATGTCGAGCAGCATTTCCATCACGTTGAGGCCACACACAACTGCGACGACGTTCTTGTCCGAGTTCTTATCGCCATTGTCTGGAAACGAGAGCAGGAACCGCCGGACGACTTCAAGGATAAAGCCCACCTCGGGGTGCAAATCGCTCTTGTGTGTGGACAAGTTGTGACAGTGCGAGATCAGTCTGCTAAGGAGGTTGTATGGCGAGTATGCCAGCGACGACACGATGCGCGGCGACACAAAGAGCACCCGAAACACCCGCAGCAGACTCACTTCGGCCACCACGGCTGCGGCTTCTTCCTCTTTGGGCTGTGGCAATCGCAGTTCGTTTTGAAGCAGCACAAACAACGACGCGACCTTGTCAGGTACTTTCCATGACGCAACGTCGTCCAAATATACCGGATACACCTACCACAGACACACATATTGGCATGTTCCATCAAATCAACAAGGTATTAGAAGTAAGTACCCTTAGCGCACAAATGATGCACGACGTGATCATGGGCAGGATCTGCGTCTGTTGGCGCACCGTCATGACCAAGTCTGGACTGAAACTCGATCGCTGCGACAACGATGTGACGAGGGCATGCCCCAGCGCTTCAAAGTCTTCGAAGAGACACTCCAGAAAGAACCTAATATGATGACAGGTTCAGCAAGGATACGTGTTCGTGTAGAGTTGAACGTACTTGGGATCCCGTAACGGGTGAATCGGATTTTCCAAATACAAGAGCAAGTACACGTCCCCGACCATGGGATACGGGTACACGGACGCGTAATCAATATCCACTTGGGCTAATTCGTCTGAAATGACTTCAGTGTCGGAGCACTTGTTGACGATCACCACAAGTTGCAGCATCTCCCGGTAGAAATGTGTCCGAAGGGTCACATTCCACACTAAATCGGGCGCCTCGTAGTGGCCCTACATATATTCTGTGTCAACACCAATGATAGTATATATATATATGATGAAACACGAAGCTCTTCTCCGTACACTGAGAATCGTGGCAACGTTTTGGGGCCGATTGACCAGTTCGTAGATCAACGACACGGGCAAGAACCGAACCATCACGTTTATCGTGTCTTCTAGCACTAAGCTGGTGGGATTTCCGAGAATGCTGAGGATCTTCATGGCTGGAATTTGCATGCTGGGGGTGTAATCGCAGTCGGCGTCCATGATCATACCCGACGCGTCGGCCGATTTGCCCGACACAGAGGGCGTGGGGAACGCCCAGATCAAGAGGTGGTACATCCAAATGGACGTTGTCACATATCGCGCCACGTTGTGCGACGACGCACACAGCCGACCGACTGTTTCGAGCAGTCCACCGCTGTGCTGGTCCTCCATCAACGCCGCATGCATGAGCACCGACAGCCCCACTTTCGACTCGACCAACGAGTCCCCAAACGACTTGGTGGCGGCCAACGCGTGCAGAATCGTCAGCGAGTGGCTTTGAAACGTGGCAAAAGCCACCGTGCCGTCTTGGGGAAGCGCGGCCACACCCTCCTTTAGCGACGGATGGGTCTGCATAAACTTGTGTTCTGGAGGCAGCACCCAATTCAGCAGCGTCAAGACGCCAGTGTGAGCCGACTTTGCAGCCCCCCCCATGAAGCCGGCTTCGACTTGGGCGGTTGCCCACGGAACCAACGCCGCCAAGATACCCAACGACAGCTCTCGAAACCGGAGCTCTACGTCGGGCGTGATGCCCCACCCCACGACACCATGAGCGGCGAGTGGAAGGCGCCCGGTCCGAACGAACGAGGCAGCAGCAGTGTAAAAGGATGGCGGGAGCCCCAGTTGCCGGACAACGTCGACCGAGTTGGCCGTGAACGACGAAGACGAGAGGGTTGTGTGGAGCGGCTCGAGGTAAATATCGTCCACGATCGCATGTTCCTTCAACGCGGAAAAGCGGAACGACTGGCCAAGTTGGGTGACGGACGACGACGGTGTGGAGGCGGGCGGGGTATTCACCAGCGGGGCCAAGAACGCTTTCAATTCACTTCGCATCTGTGATGTCCAAATCAACCGATGCGACATCGTGTCACGGTGAAACAAGTGCAAAAACTTGAACGCTGACGGATTCGTCGATTGAAAGTACAAGTTGGGCGACAACAAGGTGTGGCACACGGCTTGAATCGTGACATTGCTCTTGTTGGCAGCAACGAAGACACGAACGCTCAACGTCGCCAGCAAAGTCTGGACATGGCCGCCGACATCGTCATGTAGAGTCGTGCCGCCTGCGGTAAACAGCACCGTGGGTTCGAGGCGTCGGGCCAACGCTTGCTCGTCCACGGCAGAGTCGAACGCGTACCACAAGTCCAACAAGTGCCATAATATGCCGCCGTTTTGCGCAATTTGCTCGGGGAGCGGCGCGTCCTTGGTGGCGTCGTCGCACATTCGACATAGCGCTACGATAGACACACACATTCTTAGCTGGTTGATAGCACGACGCCACGAAAGCCCGAATTGAACGCACCTTCCAGCGTGTGCCGCACCAACACAAACAAGGCGTCTGTCGGGGGCGACGTAAAGCTGTGGTAATACCAGAGAATCCGCCATATATTGTGCAGGACGTGGGAGGCGGTGGTTGCAATCCACTGGCGTCCGGCAGACGTCCCGGCGAGACTGGCCACTGTTTGCATCAGTTCAAGTGCAGTATCAATGTAAGTCGTTTCGTCGGTAGGGTCGTTGTCGTCAATCATCCGGGTCACAACGTACTGCAGCGCGTCGTCCACTACCCCACACTGATCTTGGGCCAGCAACCACGGAATGTTTTGCACGGACACGGCGCACGAAAGGCGGAGCAAACGGGTGGCCAGGAGCGACAGATGCAGCTGCTCGGCGTGCGACGTCAGCGGCGGCACCGCGAGGCGGTCGGTCGTGCAATGGGTGGCTAGGAAGTCTAGGAGTAGTGGGAACGCGTCCAGTTTCGACGATGCCAACGCTGGGGCACAGGTTGTGACAATGTAGATTTGCGCACGCAAAAGCAGCTCCAAGTTGACAGCGTCATAGCCCGAAGTGAGCAAACTTTCACGAGGACTTGTGAGGACCGCAAACGCTACTTGAATGCGTTCAAAGCTATATGTCATAGAAAGACATTTGAAACTTGTGATGATGATGATAGTCGATTACCGTTGCAGTTTGTCTGGGTCGGCCAGAGCCTGTTCTGGACAAATGGGTTTACCCAGTCGTTTGTACGCGTCTCGAACATCGTCGCAGTTCCCGTCGTCGACCACCAATTCCAGCGTCGCCTTTGCCTCGTCGCGCGAGACGCCCACAGCCACACGATGCACTTCAGCCGTCCATGCATCGTGTAAACTGGTTAGAAAAGCCACTGGATCCTTGATCACTTCTGTGGAGTTGAAAAGTTGACGTAAGTAATACCCGTGGCAATATAACTCGCGGCCGAGATGCTCGTGGTACACTACTGGCGCCATAGGGTGGTACTCGTACGGAGTTGCAACGTCTTGTTGCAGAGTAGCTCGATGGTCGTCTAGATGGGCCAAGCAATTTCGCCACAACATGTGCCGCATGGTGGGGTTCCAGATCACACGGGGGGACTCGACGTGATCGCCGCTGCAGAACAAGGCGGAAAACTCGGCCGGATTCAGCAAATCCAATTGATCGATCATGGCTGGGGGCAGCAGATCCGCTAGAATATGGCGCGGCTCGGTTGATACGGTTTGTAGCTGGTGTGTGGCTTGTAAAAACGAAGCAAAGTCAGTAAACGAGTCGCCCTTGTACAAGAAGAGCATGTAAAACACCCCTGTTGTGTACAACGAGGGCGACGCATACGACGACGACAACAGCACCAACACGTGCATGGCCAGTTCGGATAACTTGGGCAGTTCATGGAGTACGAGTATGGACGCCATGTCCGCGATATGGGCCGCGGTCAGTTGTCGGCCAACTGGGATCGGGAACACTACGACTTCAGGCAATGTGACCAGTGGGTTGCTCTTCAAGAGGGCAATCAGCACATGGATGGCGTCGTGGGCTACGTGGACTGGATCAAACGGTCTGTCCATGCCGAATTCCCACTTGAGTTGCGGGATATTGCCAAGCGTGCTGTTGGCGGTGCCCATCCAGCGTCCAATGGGCACTTCCAACGACTCATGGTGGTTGTTCACGTTGGTGTTGTCCTTCAAGTACTGGCGTACTTCGTCCAGTGTTTTCCGCTCTAGAGTGTTGGCACCGCACGTCCAAACCGCTTGTCCACGTGTCGATGGCTGATTTCGCTGGGAAACGTGCGCCATTTGAATCAACGCCACCAACAACGGGACAGCGCGCGGATCTTTGACCAACTTGGCGCCGTTGAATGCTACTTTGGTGACACTTCGGAGCACTTGGAGTAGATGCACAAGCAACTCACACCGAGTCGTCGACTCTACCATGGCCAGCAGGTACCCCACGTCCTCGAGGGGCAAATAGTACTCAAACTCGTACACCCATGTGACAAATGCCAACGCCTTGAGACAGCTCACCGTGATATCAACATGGCCTTTGAATTCAGCATCGCCCTGTTCCCGCAAGATCTTCTTGTACAGCGCTGTAACAAACCGCTTGGGCTTCTTCACCGGCATGTCCTCCATGTGCAGCGGCGGCCTCCACGCGTCTTCGCCATCGTCAGACACTGCCGCTACGGGACACTGGAGCAAATGCCGAAGGTACATCCCGTCCACGACCAGTTCGTTCTCTAAACTTGAGTACGAGATGGAAAAGTCTTCGTAGTTCCACACAACGTTGGCTGTGGACGACGCAAAAATCTCGCGAAACCGGTGGATTTCATGCGACAGGGCCGTCTGCAGCTCTTCCCGTGTCGCAGACGTCCACACCAACTCGATCGACTCGTGGTCTTGCTGGACCATATGGAACAAAATGCGAAAGTTCTCTGGCGACCGATCCGACGGTGTCGCAGATGGACTTGGTGCGGATGATTCCGGTATGGCAGCGCCGAGGCCGCGTGTGATGGCGCGCCGCAGCATTTGCACGTTGAACAAGCCATCTTTCAACACGGACGACCGGCTGCTTCGACTGCTGACGCTGCTCGTCGTCGCCCCATGATTCGAATTGCTCTTGTCAAACACATTGGTGCCCGTCGTCTTGATGTGCATGCGATCCAGTAACTTGGCCGACGAAAGCATCGTGTCTGAGATAGCATGGTTCGAATGGACGGACAATCCATCCGATCCATTGTCGTAAAACGATTCGTTGTCTACTTCGCTCGGGCTCCGGCGGGACAGCAGCAGCTCGGCGTTGAACGCTCCAAACTTGTCCATAAACGTGGTCTTTTCTAAATCGTCGAGCTGGCACTCTTCTGCCGGCGACAGCAACCGCATCTCCAGACATGACACCAACCCCGGCGGAAATATGCGCCGAAGCAGGTGCTTTGCTGGGGCGTGGTCGCTCATCCACATGGTAATCATGTAGCGACTCACACACCGTTGGTCAAAGCTCGGGTCGAAGATGGCTTGGTATAAATGCTGTAGGACAAGGCCGCGGCGCAGCGCGGCGTCCTTGATGGAGGCCGCCGCATCTGATGAGCACAGCCGCAACACGGCTTGTACGAGCAACGTACCTAGATAGATAGGATCCGATGGTGAGGAATAAAAACATGTGACAGAGCACGGGCAATATCGACTTTCGCGTCGAGTATAACGTACGTACATGATTCGACCGTCGTGGTGCATCGAGATTGAAACAGCAACCTACATGTACGTACATATACTTAGAAACAGTACTATATACAAAACAACTAGTGATATATTATATGCACTTTATCCAGCACTCTGTGATCGTGGAGGGTCATAGCAAGAATAGAAATATATATATTGTCGATTTGATACAAATTTGGGGAGGGGGTGCAATCGAATCGCGCCGACCAAAGCGATCCACAATCGATCTGATTGGTTAAATTTCATTGAGAAGGTTTTGATTGGCTAATATTATTGAGCTCATCTGAGGTAGCCAATCAAATCGATTTAAATTCCAATGAGAAACCACCCCACAACACAATGAAATTTCACTCGAAAGCACATATACATATATCAATTACCGTGTGAGAGAGTCGTAGTGTGGTACGAGGTGGTCGACTAGGAAGCGGACGGTGGCGGCGTCCGTCGTGTGCCGATGCGAACAGATGGCGCCTTCAAGCACCTGGAGGTTGCCCATGAGACTAAGCGGTCCGGCCTTGCGGTCGGCGAAGCGCCCGAGCACCCCCACAAGCCCCGTCACGAGCATCCCTTGACTAAATAGCATACGTTTGTTGTTCAATTCTGCTTCGCCATTGGTTGCTCGCTTGTCGGTGGTTTCCCCGTCTACACTCGTGCCACAAGAACCATGACCATCACCACCAGCCCAAATCATGCAGAAATGTCAAGTCGATATATTTGAAATTCGAGTGTTTGGGTGCTCAATCTACCGAAATCGGCAGACAATCGATATATCGACCAATCAAAAAATCCAGAGCAATAACCAAGTGGCCAATCAAAATGACCCACTCTTTCACCATTTCAAGATTGAATTAGTGAGACATCGGACGTTTTTACATACAAAAGTCAGGGTCAAACAATCATCGATCGAGATAGGTTTAATCAAAAGTCAACCAACTTTGGGTATACAATAATATATATATATATATTGCTACAAGCATACGGACCAGGGCTACTACCGTCGGGTAGTCCGCCTGCCGCCGCCGAGGCCACGATCGTGTGCATGGTGACGCGCTGGAGGAGCAGCGCTGTCCAAAACACGGTGAGCTCGTCCTCGGCCACGATCAACAGCCGCAGACTGTCGAGGACATTTGGGAAATGCAGCAGTTCTCGGAATCCGTAAAACGAGCTCGCTATGCGACACAGGCACTGCAGCAACGTGACCGCGGTGCGCGGCGCCGGCGGCTGGCACGCGGCCACCGTCTGCAGCTGCACGACCAAGGGCTTGAGTGCCTCCAGCACAACCGACCGCTTGGTGTGGTATTGAATGCCAGCGAGGGGTACGTTCGCGTTGAACTCGGCGGCAATCGACACCAGGCTATCACCATAACAAAACGTCATTTTCAATATATTCGACATGTATACATCGATGGACGGACCCTCGTCCGGCGGCGGCGCCGGCGCGGATGCCGCTCCCAATGGTGTACTTGCCGACCGCCGCCAATCGTTTGAGAAAGCACGCGCCAATCGACGAATCGCCAAAGAAACTCGAGGTTTCTGTCATGTCTTCGACCGCAAATCGCGGCAAGAGGCGGAGACCGGTCTGGCTCGGCGTTGACGAAATCTCGAGCGTGCTCTTGTCCGAGCTGGTCGTGCCAACTGCGTCGTACAGCGCTGCCAAGACGCCGTCGCGGTCGCGGCACGAGTACAGCCGCTGGTGGGTGCCATGGACAAACTCGAGCTCGAACTGGAACGACCCGGGGTGTCGAATCACGGCAAACAGCGAGCAGAGGGGGATGCTTGTGAGCACGGTGAGCGACGTCGGATCGAGCTCGAGCAGCGCCGATGGAACGAGGGCTAGGATTCGTCGCTCTGGCTTCTACACAGTCGAAGATGAACAATCGGGGGGTGGCGATGGAGGCAGGTACTACTGTACTTCTTACTACTGTACGATATCATATCGTCAAGTCGATTTGAAACATTGGAGTGTTTGGGTAGTCAATCGAATGAGCAGAAGAACCAAATCGACAGACAATCGATATATCGACCAATCAAAACCCACAACACACGAATCAACTAGCCAATCAAATTATCCACTCTTCGACCGATACAACATCAAATTAGTGTGTGAATGAAATTAGTGTGTTACTGGACGATGGTTATATACAAAAGTCAGTACTGTCATGTCGATTCGAAACATTGGAGTGTTTGGGTGTTCAATCGAATGAGCAGAAGAACCAAATCGATAGACAATCGATATATATCGACCAATCAAAACCCCAGAATACTACTAATCAAAGTGGCCAATCAAATCATCCACTCTTGGACCAAGTCATCATCGAATTAGTGTGTGAATGAAATTAGTGTGATACTGGGTGATCTTTATATACAAAACCCTGAAACACAAAGAATCGATCGATAGAGTTGGCGCGAATCAGCATAAAAAAGTCCAACTTTGGGGTAAAGTGACAAGACTAGATCGTGTACCTCGTGGCGCCTCGAGAACTTTTGAACGGGAAATTGCACTATGCATTCGGCCACATCCAAAATCGGTTTGTCGGCCGCGACTTGCTCCAACGTGAGCTTGCCACGTGTGGCCAATCGCAGCCCGACACGCGCCGCCGCCTTGTCCATGTTGCCAATCAGAAACGATCGGTCGGTCGTGAAGAACACTGTTTGTCTGCCGTAGTACCCGACAACGCACCCCGTCGTGGAGTTGGAGACTGGCGTGATGTGGTCAATGTCCGTGTACGGGAATCGTTCCAGTACCGCCGCGGATTGCGACGTCGGAAGGACTTCCTTGTACACGAGACCGTCGGGAGCAATCTCCAAAATGCACTCGCGCTCCATGCCAAGTCGTGTCAACTTGGTGGCGTTGCATTGCAGCGGCGGCGGCGGCCGCGACGTCGTTTGCGCGTTCGCGGTGTGCAGCCGAAGAAACTCGGTCAGCAAGTATGCACGGTACTTGTATCGCAATTTAAGTTGCTCTTCTTTCTTTGGACCAACGAGCACCAACGTAAACACCTAAAACCATGGATACATTATTGCGGGGAGGTTGGAATATGACGAGGAGGAGCTTGTGGCCTTACGTGGTCGTCGTTGAGGTCGAGTTCGAACGACACGAACGATTGGTAAGACCAACTGTTGGTCACGTCAAAGTCCTTGGGGTCGATGGTACAGAAGCGCGTGGCGGACAGCGCAAAGATGCGCTCGTACTTGCCCTTCCATGACAACTTGGTTGTTTGGAATCGCGCGACAAACTCGTCGGGGTTATCTCCACCAGCGAGTCCCGTGAACGAGCTTGAATGGGATATCTCCAACCTCCTCGGTGAATCTCCCATGTTGCTTTATCCCGTGTTCTTGTCTACGTAGCCCCGAGTGCTGATGGCGCCGACAACTTGGGGGTCAAACCACGAAAATGGAAAATGCGGCGCGGTGGACATGATTTTTCGCCATCTGGTGTTCGGAACCCACACATCACGTTTTAAATTTATTTCAAAAAGGTTTAAATACACATCAACGAATAATTCCCTTCGAACAATAGGGTTCCTACGTTACTTATGTCCATCAAAGGAACTCGAGGCCGAAACCCCGTACAGTCCTGTACCCGTGGTGTGGCTATTCCCGGGGTTACCAGTGTGTTAACTATCGCTAAACGCTGAAAAATGCACTTGGCCCGTAGCTGGAATACGTTGTTTCGGCATACACTTGATAAACATGTGATACAGTATGATGATGTATGCAACAGTCAAACTATTGTTCTTAGGGAATTACTGCACGTCTTTTTGAATTCGAGTCGGAATCTCCTATTTCATAGGCGTTCCAAACACTTTTGAAACCGTCAAATGCCCATGGCAATCGCCAGCAATTGCGCGGGCATCACATCCAGCCCTAAGATGGCAACCTTTTCGTCCACCGAGAGCGCGGCACTGCTCACGCCGACCGTCGTAAGCGGCTGGACCTCCATCATGGAATGCACGGCAACGACATTCGCACCCATCGGTCCCGCCGCCACGACGTGCGCTGTGCGGGAAAACGGTACGAGCTTAGTGACTGGGAGCTCCGTCGATGTCGTCGTCGCTAGGAACTCTCCTTGGAGGGAATATGATTGAAGTGTGGACAAGGTTCTATCACCACCCGTGTCACTTGTCGCGGACACCGACACAACGATCCATCCCACCGTACACACCGCCACCGCATGCACGTTGGTGCTGCGAGGAGGCAAGGCTAGGTCCACCAGTAGGGCGCCCGTCGACATGCTGTGCACCAGACATCGTTCCGCGGACCCACTGACGACCACATCCAGGTCATTGCGTACCGCGAGTGCCGTAATAGGACTTGCATGGCCGAGGTACGCCTGTCGGGGGCTATAGTCGGGCTCGACCACAATGCGTTTCGTGGTCGGTTTGAAAATGTTGAGTGTGTCGAGCAACGACGACGTCCATCCCGACGACGGCAGCATCGTCCACGCGGAAATGGTGCCGTCGGCGCTCCCACAGACCAAGTCGGTGTTGCGATGCTGGGCCAAGCAGGTCACGGGGGTCGCATGATGCAGCACGCAGCCGAGGAACGCGCCGTCTGAGATGGCATAACATCGCACGGACCCGTCGGGGTGCCCTCCCGAGGCCACTGCGGCACCGACCGCCGTCCAGACGAAATCACCGCGCAGCCACGCGTAGTCGGGTAGGACGCGGCGGGGTTTTCTGTCGACGAGTTCCAAAATGGCATCGACGCCACTGGACGGACCAGCTCGCTGGGGGGACAGCGCCCCCGACGACGAAGATGTCGATGTGGCGGGAAGCGCCTGCTGCCTTGTGGCCGTCTTATACGGCGACGTAAACTTTTGCATCGACAGCATGCCCGTCGTGTCCAAGCACAGCAACGCTGTCACAGACACAAACTCGATCAACGCGATGGGATGCACGTGCGGTAGCAAAAGCGGCACCACTCCGCCCGGAGGGAGGGTGTCGGGGATGTGTCGAGCAACGTGCGGCTCTCGCAGCAGCTGCGACGGCGTTTGGCCAAAATGCGCAATCTGCGCCCGCATCGACGCCTGCAGGACCGGATCTGTGATAGCGTCAATGTCCACCAACCCCTCGTACGTGAGATAGAAGAACACATTGTGCGCTTCCAGCGCCGCCGGTCCCCGCTGCTTGTCACCAAACACCAAGTCGATCCACAAGTGCAGATGCTGTGACACGTACTCGCTCTCGAGGGCCTACCACCAAACTCCATCACATGTACACATCGTGATGCGATACTGTACCTGCATGTGCAATGCGATAAAGTGCTGCGGACTCGTCGCATATGGAGGCAGGACGACATCGTCGAGCTTGACGCCATTCTGGCGGGTTCCCAGGTCCACATGGTTGTGGTTGGTTAGAAACGCCGTGCTGTAAAACCACTCGGGCGTGAGCTCCTTGAGATCGCTCGTGTCAGTCAGACAATTCGCCCATGTATCGGCCACCGAATGGAACAACCGGTCGGCGTGGTCGAAGCGGCCGCCCTGGACGCGGCGGGCGAGCGACGTGAACGGCTCCAGGCGGACCAAGTAGTACAACACGGCCCCGACGTGCGAATAGTGCGAGCCATACCTACGACCATCCGTCCATCAACACAAGTACGTACAGTGTCACATATTTGAAACAATGTTCACGTACATAAACTTGGGGATGTCTGGGTCGTCAAACGCGGCATACCGGTCCTTGAAGAACTCCAATCTCGCGGCATCGAGCGCGCCCATCGGTTTGCTCAAGTCTCGAAACGTGGACGCTCTCGACAAGTCGAGCGTCGGCGACGTGTAGTCGGCCAACACCCACGGGAACACGGGGTACTGCGTCAGGTCGTTGTACGTGCGTCCAGACACTGTGTTGAGCCACATCAGGTACTCAAACGTCGAGATTTCATGGTTCACCCACAACGACGTGTGGTCTGCACTGCGAAACGCATGCGACGGATGGCGGTGCAGCCGCCGCCAGTCGGGATTCGCAACCAGCCGCGCCGGCCGGCGACTGATCAGCGCGCTGTGGACGTCGTGGATGGAAGTCGAGGCAAAGTGGAAAAAGTAGTTTTTGCGCGTAGATGCGACAAAGATCTCGAGCGCCGTCAGCTTGAGCAGGTACCGCCGGCTGTAGATGTGGCACATGTCATCCAGTCGAAGGCGCCGCGGCCGCAGGAGCTTGGCCTCGTCTGATGGACTGGTCACTAACGACGACGTTTGGTTGTGTGCTCGTTGGTCAACGTCTTGATCGTGCTCGTCCACGATCGCATGTGGATAAAACACAAATTCAGACTCGGTCATGTGCACTTGCCCAACCATGATGTACATTTGCCGCACGAGATGAGCTGGGCATACAAAGTCCGTCGAGTTGCTCTTGGTCGGAAAGCCCGCCGCCGATGATTTCCGCTTTGGGTTGGTCACATTGGTTGCACTCGTGGCCGATTTGAACGGACTGGGTGGCGGCAACGCCAACGTTCGACCTACGAGACTACCGCTGCTGCTACTCGCATCCGCTAACGTTTGAGGGTTGTTGTCGTCGTTGTCCTCGTCGAGCATCTCGTCAAATGTCAGCGTATCGTCCTCGACGTTGCTCGATGTGGCGGTGCGCAAGACGGCGCGGACGTTCGCATCACTCAACATGTCTGCCAGACCTTGGACACCACTGTCACTTCCCCAGCTGGAAGCCATTGCATTCATGGAAGCCGCCAACGATGACGTCGCTGTATGGTCGAGTTCTACGTCGTGGGGCTCCAAGTAGGGGAGGGGCTCTACGACCTTTAACTCCAGTCGCATGCGCGATAGGTTTTCCGACGTCAACAGCTTGAAGGCTCGTGGAGGGGAAGGCACGACCTTCTGTTGTCGACTGACATCGGGTACAACGGGCTCCAGACATCGCTCCAATTGAGTCTGGAATCGCTTGGCTGCTGCCTTGGCGTCGGCGGCCGCGCGCTCCGTCATGTGCTGCAATCGGTCTACCGCTCCTCCTTCGTCGTTCTTCTCTCGAAGCAGCATCACGTCTTGCGTGTGCACGGACAGAATCACCGTCCGCTGGTCGACATCTTGCATCGTCATGGCTACATTAAACACGGCGTTGGTTTCGACCAAGTGCTTCCATTTGGCCACAAACCGGTCGACGTGGCTGTCGACTTCGTACTGCGCCTCCACAGCGTACTTGGACACGACTTGCATGAACGGCACCCACAGCGCCGCCGAAGTGTCCGCCGGCAACGCCGTGAGCCCCATCAACGCATGCGCGAGTTCGCTTTCCGACCCGACGCGCCCCAGCGCTTCTAGTGCCACAGAGTGAATCAGGTCCGTCAGCGTCGCCTTATCTTCTACGGCAGTCGCCAACGCCCACAACCCATGCAGTTCGGTAACCACCGACAACAGAAACAGCGGCTGCATCGTCGGCTCCATGACCTGGTCATCGTCCGCGACCACTGACACCACATGCAGCGTTTCGAACGCCGTCCGCAACCGCCCCACGTCAGCCGACGCAGTTCCCGTCGTCAGCAGACTCACTTTGATCATTTGGAACATCGTGTACAACGCCAGCCGACGGGTCAACGGGTACGTAGCAAACAACTCGTGCAGGACGTCCCGGTCTTGTCCTCCGTCGTCCCCGACAGCCCACGCGACCACCGGTAACCGCGGGAGCATAGGCAGCCACAGGTCGCGGGCTTTCTGAAGCAGCGCCACATGTTTCGACTCGTCTCCCAACGGAGCGTGCATGCGGTCTGCGATAAAGTACAGCAAGGCCAGGAGACTGCAGAATTGGCTGACGTTTTCCCACTGCAGCGCCTTGTCGACTGGCGTGCACAACATTGCATCCGCCACGGCCGTGTAGAGCGATACACAACGCTGCGGCGATTTGTACAGGTAAAAGTACGTTTCCAACACATGGATCCATCCGTGGTTGACTTGGCGGAGGCTGTACACTAGGATGTCCACGATCATATCGGAGCACAGCGCCTCGACTAGGTGCGCCGCATGCTCTGGGAACGATGAGATCACAGTGTGGATGATGGCTTGCTTGACTGGCCCAGGTGCGCTCGCCTGATGGAGCACCGTCAGCATAAAGTCGGCGCCGGCCTTATCCTGGGCCGCCCCGATCGACTGAACGATGCGGACGCGCGTGTCCACAGCGGCGGTTTCATCGCACAACATCATGCAATAATCGTTCAATTGGCGGGTGTCTAGCCCAGGCGGGTCCGTCGCTTGCATTGAATCGATACAAGTTGCAAGATGTGGTTTGGCTTGAATCAACACCAGAGTCTTCATCCATTCTGGGTCTACGCGAATATACTCTTTGAAAATGTCGCTGTTTGGGCCCCGGAGCACTGTGTGGAGCTCGTACAGCGTGTACAATTGCACGCGATAGTCCACAACCGACGAACAAGCCAGCAGTTTCAACAGCACGACCGGGACGAAGTGACCCCGCGGCGTCGACGTGTGTCGCGCCCCTGTGAGCGCACTACTTCGCGGCCCCAAACACACATCCAGAATCACTGCACACTGTCGCATGTCGATGGCCAATGGACTACTCAACGCGTGGTGAAACAGCACCGCGTCTGGAAATCTCAAGTGAACATGCGATGTCATTGCGCTGAACGCTTCGAGTACATGCAGCCGCAGCTCGAGCGCGGGCGTCGCCAGCCACGTGTACCACAACGCCATCGGACTGTGCTTCTCGAGCTTGAACAGCAGTTTCCGACTGGGGGGCGACGACACTCCTGGCATCATCTCTTGCCCGGATGATAACGTGCGCGTAAAGTACCCAAAGATCTCTTGGACGTCGTACGCAGTGGTTTGGCTTTGACGAATCGATTGCACCCGCATGTCCAAGTGTCGGATGAGCGCATCCCAGCCATCTGATTCGTCCAACACGTTTTGCTTTGGAAACAACAGCGGGTCGATGAGGTTGTCCAGCACGAGTTTGCAACACATGGACGCATCCACTGCTTGTGCTACCGCCGACGACGATCCGCTGTACCAAGTGGCCATCAACTCACACCAGTGACTGACATCCATGGTCATCACGCTACTGTCCGATTCATTATTCGAATGCAGTAACCCCAAGTACGTGGGCAATATCGACTCCAATAGACGCACTTGGCACGCTACGGGACCGTGAAACCACACTGGCTGCAACACAAACAATGCAAGCACCATCGTGCGCAGCCGCGACGTTTGGACGTGCGGAGCCACCGCGTCGACGACGGCCACGACGGCATCGAGCAGGTCTTCCGTGAGGGCGGGCGTCGGCAGCAACGTCAACAAGTGCGCGATGACCTTGGACCCGTGCCATCGAAGAAATTGCGATCGACATCGCCGACTAACCACAAGTCCGCTCGCGACGAGCCGCAGCACGCTGACGGCGTCCTGGGGACTCACTGTGGGGTCGAACAGCAGCAGCAAGTACGTGGCAGCGCCTCCGAGAGGCCCGAGGGCTGCAGCTAGAGACGAGCGGCAGAGGCTGCGTGTGCCAGGCTCGAGCCATCCGTTGGCGCTGTGGCCGCTAACGTCGTCACAGATTGACTCGCGTGTACAGACCCTTGCGTCGTATGCAAACACAAACTTGGATTTGTCTGCTGCAGATCCGTTCTCCCATAGCCACTGCTGCATGATGGCCGTCGGAGGATGCGAGCATGGAGCCACCGCCGCCACTTCCGCGTCGGACAAGGCCGTCCCCAACAGCGTCGGATCAACCATTTGGCCTTGAAACGATGGAAATTGGGGCGTCGCCCCCACGCAGTTGTGCCCGCCAGCCATCTGTAGCGCATCCGGGTAGGGCAAATTCCCTGCAAAGTGCAGCTGCCCGTCCAAATACACGAGGATTTTGTCCTTGAACACCATCTTCTTGGCATGGACGATGGCCACATGCGTCCACGTTTGGTGCATGGCAATGCGACGGCCGTTCAATGGAACAGGAAGGTTGATGAAGCTTCCATGAGATGTGAACGATGCAAGCACGAGAGAGTCGCCGTCGATGGCGGCAGATACGCCGTGGCCATTCTCGCCTCGGAAACTGTACATTGCCATGGCCGGCGTCGTGGCGTCCACGAGGATGCTGGCGCAGAAGGTGTACCCTTTCTTCAGTGGAAGGGCTGTGCTAGACGGAGCGATGATGCCCGCATGTTGACCTAGCATGACAAATACATGCCGACGGTACAAGTCAACTTCCGCGTCTCCTTCGAGAACTGTTTGAGTGAGCTCAAGCAGCCGATGGCGCAGCTCGGGGCCAGCAGTCTGTATAGTACGCCATAAGCTGAACGCATCTACTGTCCGGGCGTCAAACACAAGCAACTCTGTGAGGAGCGACAGCACGGTCTCCACGAGTGTTGGGTCGGCCTGTGTTTTCAATGCGAGGTAAAGCAAGCGACCCACGACTCTCTCAACTTGAGGAAAAACAGTTATCATGGATGTGAACGTTTGCGGTGATGATACTTCTGCCTTGTGTGAAAGTTGAGTTGCCGCGGCTGCAGCAGGAGGTGCGCTGTCGACAGGCTGCAACAGTGCTAGTTTTCGGCGGACAAGTTGGCCTGCGACTTCCAGGGCTCGCTTCTGCATAAGCATATCATCTTTGGCTTCAGCAACGATATCAATCATTAGCCGGACCATCTCCCCTTCATTTCCATCGTCGGTCCTCAGGGCTTCCTCAAGTAGGAGATCCATCAAGCTTCGACTTGAAACGCGATTACGGAGTTTCTAAAGATCAGAAGATGCTTGCTCAGAATTCCGGATATTGAAAGACCCAAAGTTGGTTATCCGGTAATTTGATACTCCATCATGGAGACCAATACATGTACGATCGTCGCCGGAACAGCCGCCTTGGTCTTGTTTATCGTGGCATGGATGATGTTCCACCCACAGAGGAGGACATCGCTTCGACACAAGCACGTGGTGGTTACGGGCGCGGCATCAGGTATTGGACGCGGCTTGGCCATCGCATTATGCGAGGCCGGTGCCGTCGTGAGCCTTCTCGACGTCAACAAGGCTGGTTTGGACGAAGTTGCCGCCGCCATAAGTCAACCCGAGCGTGTTCACGTATTTCCCTGCGACGTCTCAGACTACACGTAAGTGTATTCTCCACTACCTCTTCTTGGTCCCAATGTGGTTTCTGTCTAAGCCAAGTGGAAACGGCATTGTCGACAGCTGTGGCCACATTGCAGCGACCAGTTGAGATCCTCATCAACAACGCTGGCATTGTGAATGGCAAGAAGTTTGTTGATCTGACACCCACCGACATGCAAAGGACGATGCAAGTCAACACGATGTCGCAATTCTTCACCACCAAAGTCGTGCTGCCGGCCATGCTCGAGCGTCATGCCGGTCTCGTGGTCACAGTCTCTTCTGTGGTGAGTACATCCCGTAGATCACATACGCGGCAGCTTATCGTTCACTGAAGATGGGGCTCAACGGGGCATCGGGCTTGGTCGACTATTGCGCGTCCAAATTTGCATTGGTTGGCTTCCACGAAGCTCGTACGACCTGTCACAACCACAGGACTCTCATGTGACGATGTTCGTGTAGTACGCTTGGAATTGAGGCACACAGGCGTACGCACCCTCCTCGTGTGTCCCATGGCAGTCGCCAGTGGCATGTTCAACGGGATTCACGACGGCCAATCTGCGTGGCACCGCCTTGTCAATCGATACCTGTTACCTATGATCAACGTTGACGACGCCGTCCGCTCCATCATCGACGCCATCCAAGATGAAAGGTGCAACGAACTGGTGTCCTGCGCTCCATGCTGGCGGCGATATGTCCTTCCGTGGGCCCCAAGAGTCGTGCGGTTGCTTCCCGTCTGGGCCATGGATCGCATTCTTGGGTTGGCGGGGGCGACAGATGGAATGGACACCTTTGTTGGCCGAGCCAAAGTGGAATAGATATTTTCATTGCTGCTCCCATGCAAATGCCATTAAACAGTATATTGTCCTCATGAATGCGGTACTGTAGTTGGTTACAGCCCCCTCGAGATTATTGTAAATCCTGATTTATTTAATAACTGTAAATTGATATTTTTGACTCGGAGTTTTTTGTCAAATATTATTAAAAATACTCAGAGGCACTCAGAATCAGTGAAATGTTTTAACCGGTAGAATATCCGGATGTCTCGTTGTAGCCGGACAAGTCCATTATTATCCGGATGTTCCCACTGCCCGCGGCAGAAAAGCCGTTTGAATGAATCGCCTCCTGCAGTCATTCGTGTCGAACGACTCAAACGGGAAGCCACAGCAGCAGCCGCCGCGATCGAACGGATCAGGTCCACCGGCACCATTTGCCCATGGACATCATGCAAATACTCCCGTGAACTATGGCCCTCCATCACTGCCTGCGAACGAGGACCAGTATGAAACCTTGGATTTGGACGCGATAGGCACCGGCCAGCAGCAGGCACATCAGTATTATCCGCCATCTGGCCCGCGCTCTGGTAACCACGGCGTCACGTATGCACGACAACAAGACAATGGACCTTTCAGTGCGCAATACACTCCCTACCCGTCGAAGCAGCAGCACTATGCGTCGTCAACGGACTCCTACTTTGACCAATCGGGGCTCCACCAGCAATCGCCCTTCGCGCCCCAGTCCGGTCCGCCACACGAACAAGGTCCATCTGGACACTACCACTCGTATGACCATCCACCCCAAGCATCTCCTCCCTCGTTCCCCCCACAGGCGACTTCATTTTTCTCCCATGACCATCACGCCCCCGCCCCTCTGTCGTCGTCGTCATCTTCGGCGTCGCATAATTTCTTCACGGACCAATCTTCTCAGTCATCTGCATCGGATTTGTTTGGGTCGAGCGATGGTCCGTCGGGTGATTTCTTGACCGCCGCCCCAGCGTCATATGCCCCCCAAGCAAGCCCCAGATACACCCCAGCACAACCATTTGGTTTCGATTCGACATCTCCTGTGACGGACGCCGCCGACCTATTTGGCACTCCATCTTCCGATGCGTTTCACACACCTGTCACGGAGCAGACGCCCGTGGACGTCCCACCCGCTCCAGTGGGCGACAGTTCCGTCGAGCTGCCCCCTTCGGCGGCAGACTTGTTTGGGTCGCCGCAACGGTCAGCTAATCCGCACTTCACTCAGGCAACGTCTAGTCCTGCCCAATCCCCCGTCCGCAACCCCCCCGTGCATGTTCGTGCAGCGTTCAGCTCGATGCAACTCAACTCGCCCGACTACTCGAATCCACCGTCCCCCCCAAAGCCCCAAATCGAAGACAAGCCTACCCCTCCATCCCCTGTTGGAACTCCTGTGACTCCGCAGTTTCTCCACCAAACTCCCCCGTCGCCCAGTCGACAACAACCTCTTACCAAGGAACCGTCGCCACTGAAGGTTGTGCAACGCCCTCCCCACCATGAGTTGTCCCCACCGTCCATTTCACCGACTTCATCGAATCACTTGGACGTTTCTCAACCAGTCAATGGAGATGATCATGCGGTGTCGTCATCGTTGCCAGAAGCATCCGTGTCGTCGGTGGAGCACACCAAGCAACTGATGCTGCAGTACAAACATATGGCTGAGCGACTCGAACATGAAAAAAACGAACTGCTCGACATCCTCACCGCCCAAGCCGACCAGTTTTACGCCATGCAAGCGTACATTGACCAACTCGTGGCGGACAAGGCGGCCACGTTGGCCCCTTGAGGTTGCGTTCATGTACACTCGACATTCCACTAGACGACCTCAAGTTACATTTAACAACCCTCTGCGATATATCATATCTCCTATGGATGAGTTTCAGCTTCCTGTAGCCTCTACTTGTTAAGGGTCCAGCACCATCGACGACACATGTTCCATCTACGTACACAACCAAACAAGCAAAAGTCTTATTAGTTCACGTGGCATTCTCAATCGCGTATGCGAGAAACATCATGTACCAGCCAGCATACATACCTGGGACGCCAGCGCTTTGAGCTGGCCCTTGATCTCGACCAAGTCATGCTCGGTCGAGTGTTCGTTGGTTTTGGCTAAGCATTTGGCCATGGATTGAGGGAACCACGACACATCGTCTTTTTCAAGCAGGCACTTGACGTAGGCTTCAGGTCCAGTGCATTCCACCAGCGACAACGATTGCAAATGTACAATAAAGTACAAGTAGCTCCACCTACAACCACACAAATGCCATCGTTAGACCCCCCCCCCTCTCTGCCCCCCCCTCAACCATCCAGCGTGTATTTTTATATATATATATATATATATATGTACATGTTGTGGTCTTGCGTGATATGCTTGTCAAACCCGTTCGAGATGCCCAGTTGCATGTAATGGTTGTCAAAGACATCCCGAGACAACCCACATACAAAGCACTGGTTGCGCTTCAAGTCTTCTCGTTCGTTGGTTTCCGTGCGCAAGTCGCCAAACGTGTCGATCGTAATGCCAAAGATGATGTTGAGTAGCAGCACGATCACGAGCACAAAGAACGACAGGTCGTACAAGATGCGCAGCCAGTACGCCATGCGCACGTTGATGTTGGGCGGGTGGTTGAGGCCAGACGTGAGGTAGTCGCCGATGCCGCCCCCGGAGATGAGGCCGCGGTGTACGACCGTGAGGAAGCAGTCCATGAGCGTGGAGCAGTACTCAATGTGCGTGTCGTCGTCGGTCGAGTCGGTCGGGTTGAAGAAGAACAGCAGCATCGTGTAAAAGTAAATGACAAACAAACCCAAGAGACAGGTCAGGGCGAGGGCGCGGCCGGGCTTGGTCACGGCGCGCACGACGTTTTGCAGTGACGGACTCATGATGACCAGGTCCAGGAGATGGTAGCCGTAGAAGATGGGGTGGATCAGCGTCGCACAAAACGCTGTGACAAGGTACACCGAGTAGAACGCGGTGATCTTGTCAAAAATGACGTCGTATACAAACGTATACAAGAGCCCGACCCATGAGCTGCTCTTTTCCAAGTACTCTCTCGTGTTGCGCACGAACGGCAGGAACAGCACAAGAACTAGCTCAGCCACGTGAGCAACGCACCCACACACGACGATGAGATGAGTAGTCGACAACGTACAGGGCATCCAATCTGGAAAGTCGGGAAACGCTTGCAGGAGCGTGAATTGCAGCAAATACATGAGAAAGATCATCTTCATGAACGGCAGGTATGACCGCACAAAGTGGACGCTGTCCTGCGCGAGCTGGATTGCCGTCTTCTTGAGCCACTTGGCGCCGCCTTTGGCCCGACTCGACATGTTTTCCAGCTGCATGGCTTGCTTGATGTCGATGGTTTGGATGGCATTTTTGATGTCAAAGTCTGCCGCGACGTCTTGCTTGGTGTAGTTCTTCTTGCGTTTATACTTGTCCATCGAGTTTTTGATCATCGCGTTCAATCGGGCGCGGAAAATGAGGGGTCCGCTGATCACTAGCATAAACACCTGCAACACACGAACGGTGTCACATGAACGGCGTCACATGAAACACAAGATGCGGGAGGACTTTTTCCACGGTCCAAAGCAAAAACCGATATACCGTACCAACACGAGCGTGGACAAGCAGATCTGCGCAATGCCAAAGTACGTCATGGGTTCTTGGAGGCTAGACGGGTAAAAGTAAAACTCGAGGCTTTCGTCTTGATGTCGGATCGACACGAGCTAGACAGAGACGCATACAATACAATTTTCACATGTACATATATATATATATATGCTTTGCTTTAAAGAGGTGGCGCGTACCATGATCAAGTTCATAAAGATAGCAAGGAGAAAGCTAATATTTTTGAAGTGCGGAATGTATGGCCGCACAATGTTGTACAGGAAAAAGTTGCTCAGGTTTTCAATGTGCTGCATTTCTTCGTTGAACCCAGACGCGGCGCTCGTAAACTGCTTGAGTCGCTCGCTCGACTTGTAGTCGAGGTCGCTCAGGAGCCGGTTCTTCTTGGACTTGAGATACCGCAGCATGCGACAATGTGATGCCTTGGGAAAGTACACCTTGTCCAAGCGAGGTTCCCCCACGCCCCACCACAGCTCGATGGAGCAGTGCATCGCGTCAAAGAACGCATACACCTTGGCATAGGTGGCGTCGCGCTTCCACACATCTCTAGCACGTCGGTAGGCGGATTCGCTGGAAAAGTCGCCGCGCTTGGGCGCTTTCGTCGTGCCCGCGTCCGTGGCGACCGGCGCAAAGCTGTCGTCCCCGGCGGCGCTGGCAAAGACACTCGTGGCAAGGGTGAACAGCGCCACGCCTTCTTGGAGGAACCGTTCGTCCCACGTCACATCCGCCTTGTGCTGTTCCTTTTCGGCTTGGAATTGTTCGTAGATTTCCTATCATTCCCATCCATCCATTCGTTTTATTGTTTCTCGTGATAAGGTTATACAGTTGGAACACTTTGGTATATTGACGTTATCGATGATGTTTACCACGAGACGATTCTTGATGGCTTTGATCTCCAACGTACTCCGCAGGCGAGTTTGCACTTGGTCGTTTGTACGACCTTCGAGCAAACTCACCATCGCCTTGACCGAGTTGGCTTTAAGTGACTTGACCAAGTCCGCCGTCGGCAACTCGTCGGTGTCGTCGTCGTCGGTTCGGACATTGATCTGGGCTTTGATCGTTTTGCGGAAGATTTCCACCATCACCGACCCCATGAGAAACTCTTGGTTGGGACTGCACGGTCCTTGCATCGTTTCGACGAGAAATTCCCAGCACTGGTTCAAAGACGTGCAGTCGTTCGAGGTCATGTTTTGCAGCTGCAGTTCGTCCTTGACCAGAATCGCCAAGTACGCCGTGACCGTCTGCAGCACATTGACGCTGTTGGCGTGTCCGACGTAGCTCTGGTCAAGCATCACGAGCTGCATGTTCAGATAATGTCCCTTGATCAGTAGCTACACACAAGCCAAACGATATATCACGTTTTGATTTTTACGTTCAATGGAAGAAGATGGTACCGCTAGAAACTTGACGAGGATGTCTCCAGACAGCGTCGAGTCGAGATGCGCCGACGCCGCGTCCTCGGCGGACAAAGTGGCGGAAGCAGCATCCACCGCCGCCACCATGGCCGGTCCTCGGTTCTTGCGAGATTCCTTGATGTACTTGAAACTCCGACGGGTTTCTTTAACTTGTTCGATCGCATGTTGCAGAATTTGATCGATTTGCAGGAATAACCTAGTACCAGTATAGATATTTACAATTTGAAAAAATATATAGTCTTGACAACGTCGTTGGTTGTACCGCTCGTCGCCGTCCTTCATCGAGTTGTAAAAGATGGTTTGGACAGTCACATTCCCTCCGTAGAGCATTTCGATGCCGAATTCCACGGCCTTGAGCACCAACGTCGACTTGTAGCCCCCCGCAATCAAATTCAGCACCAATTTGGCCGCCCCGCAGCTACAACATATATATATATACAGTACCACCATAACGCCAATATATATGTATAATAAATAGTACATACCCAGCCATGAACGACTGCGTGTCTTGGTATGTCACGCGCGCTTCTTCGATCTCGACGGTTTGGAGTTTCTTCTTGGCATCCTCAGTCAAGTGTTTGGTAGAAATGAGCTGCAGCAATGCTTCGATCGCGTACACTACACAACCTACAAATGCCACCAACTTTCATCGTATCGAAGCTTTCTGCCGCCATCACTCGTTGCCGACGTACTCGACGCCGGGTTGTCTTGGATAAACTTGACCACACGACTGCAAAACAACGTCGGCGTGATCGTGTTGGCACGTCCGTCCAGCGGGTTGGCTGCTGCGTCCTCGCCGGGCGTTTTGCTCGTCAGCGACTCAATGTCTTCGATCGCTTCGACCAGATCGCGAAACTCATCGAGCACACTCGCCGCCACGTCCGCGTTGGCCACCATCGCGTACTTGAACTCGTCGAATTTCTGGGCCGCGGCTAACGCATCCGACGACGTGAGGCCCAAGCGGGGGGCGGGGCGTTGCAACGCGCCGATTTTGACTTCACGGGACTTGACGCGCTGGAGAGGGGACCGGCTGCGTCGAGACGTCAGCGGCGGCTTGGTCGGTGGCGGCACGATCGTCAAGCCCGTATCGGCACTACCCCCCAAATCCACCCCGAGAGCCAACGCACAATAGTTGCAAATCTAGTGCACATGATAATACTCGAGTGTGAGCATCGAGTCGTACGTAGATCGAAGAGAAGAAACGAATGAAGAAGAAGCTTATGTGTTTGAGTCGGTGGCATGCAATCTTTCCACCCCATGCAAGCATCTTGGCCACATTGTTTACCTCGAGCTGCCGCCATCCGAGCTTGGCGCGTTTCTTGAGCGACTTGAGGTCGGCTTTCAACGCGTCGTAAATGTGGATCGTCTGTTCGTTCAAATCGGCCGCCGATGGGTCGTACACTCCCCGAAAGAACGACGTGACGACACACAGCACGCCCTGGAAAATGTACTCTTGCAGTTGAATGAACGAAGTATCGTACACGACTTCGCCCAGGGAAGACATCAGGCTGGACGACGTGTGCAGTTCATATGACAATGCGTTGAACGTGGCTAGTTGCTTGGAGCAGTGGAGAAGGACATCCCACACGGCGGGCATCACGGCCAGCTGTGGGTCCACTTCCAAGTCAGTGTCAAAGAACACCTCGGACAAGAACTTGCTCGCAACGACGCGCAAGCTGAGGGGCATGGCGTCGTCCAGCAGCACGGTCAAGATCAAGTTGAGCGGGTACAGCTGCTGGCACTCGACTTCGGTTTTGAAGTTCTTGCCGTAGCACATGACACTGAACGCCTCGAGAATCTACGACCGACCATGAGTCACACCCACCAAGGACAAGCAAGCCCTGGCATGACAGAATCGGAATGTACATACCTTTTCAAAGTACGCGAGCAAGTCTGCCTCACTGGGCGTCTCCACGACGTGCATAAGGGCCGTGTAGCCAGCCGTGGCGCGAAGGCTGGACGAGCCCACGTCCATGTCGGGCGTGATATCTTGGCCAAACGGTAGCAATAGATGGTCAAATTGAGGGTTAGTCATGATCGCAAACAAGTGCACTTGGTTGGCTTTCACGGGTGCTTCGTCGGGGATGATGTATCGCTTGAAGAACTCCATGATCGTGGAAATCGCATTCGAAGACGACGACCGACGGTGTTTGGCGGGGTCGGGGTGCCGAAGGTCCCCCACGTGGTTGTTGAGGAGCTTCATGAACGCCCAAATCGCTTGGTCTGGGACGCACAAGCACAAGCTTCGGTTGTCGACAAACATGTTAATCAGGACATCGCCCATGCCGTCCACTTGGTCTACTCCAGCAACGACTGTAGCATGAGGACAACACAGCTCGGACACATCGATGGTTCGTACCGAAACGATCAATGAGTTCGGGGAGGTAGTCGAACATGGCTTTCTGGCCGGCGGGGTTCTTGGCCATCAGGGCTTTGAAAAACGCACAGCATTCGTCTTTCACAGCTTGCAACTGCGGGTCGTACTGCGTGTCGACAACGTGCATGCGGATCAACTTCATTGCGTGTTCGTGTAGCAGCAGCTCCAGTAAAATGGCTTGCTTTTCCACGTTTGGCTGCAACGAGTCGTCGTAATGCAGCCGGTCGGCACAGCACTCTTCGAGCTTGACCAAAATGTCCACGAGGAGACGGCCTACCCCAAAGTACCCAAGCCGCACGTGGTTGGCATCGCACAAGTGCTCGCACAGTAACGGCGACTCAAACGCTTGAATGTAATGCTTGAACAGTGGCACGATGTACTCTAGTTCTTTGAGCACTTGAGAGCTGGATTTGGTGCTGGCGGCGATCGCAACGTTCGGGACGGCGTTCCGGACGAGGATGCACTTCATGAGGTAGTTGAGCACTTGTTCCCGCCGCGTATTGAGTTGCAGCAGCAGCGCCAGCGCCTCGTGCACGAGGTGATCGTCGTCGTACATGATCAAGTCCATGCAAATGGTTTCTAGCGGGGCCTTCGTCACCACGCGCATGTCTAATGCCGACTTGGCAAACAAATTCACAAAGTGATTGACACCCGCCTTGCCGAGCTCCCCCGACTCCAACACGAGCGGGTCCACCACAGAGTTGCTGAATTTGAAGTTGGACACGACGCTCCACAGCTCAAAGTCGCGCCAAATGAGCGTGATGTGACCCAAGATCTGGCAAATCTGCAGCTTGCACTTTGTCACGGCATTGTGCAGCTTATTGCAGCGGTACCGCGCCGTCGAGTCGTGCGCGGGGCTGTCGGCCAGGACGACTGTGTTGCGGCCGTCCAGAAGCCGAATCAGCGGACCAGCCAGTCGGCTGTGCGAGTCCAAGTCGGCGTAAAACCCGCACCGCACCAGCCACGACACGATCTCCAAGAGCGAGCTCAGCAACACATTCGCATCCACGGAGCACAGCATGCTCTTTTCAAATGCCATGCGCGAGATGATCTCGTGGATCACTCCTAGGATGCCACGTCAGATGTTGAAGGTGGTATTGCTAGAATGTCTGTAAATTCAGAGATTAACTACTTGAGTGTGCTAACCTGTCCAATTTCTAGGTGGTCCTAAACTTATTGCCAGCACTGTACGTAGTAGTACTATTTCCTCTGTTCCATTATCACTCTGCACATTACCGAAATGCATCTGTTCCGTATGAATGTGAACAAAAATACTAATGTATGATTGGCTAAAATGAAAAATGCAATGATATCATTGGCTGAAGTTGTTACCCGGCAAAATTTCACTGCTACACCATGTTAGCTTTGTACTAACTGTAAGTAGTACTAACGTGAGTACGTAGTTGATAATACCTTGAATGAACGCGAATTTGTCGGCAAACGGGTACGAAATGAACGCGTCGTCGGACGTGAGGGCGGGATGGCCGGCTTTCAAATGAAAATGGGCGAGCAACTACGCCAGCCACTCAGCAACATAACAATGTAATTCAATATGCGTACCGGATGGGCTTGCTTTTCGACGGCTGTGACATCGTCAAAGGCATACACGGTCTTGGGCACGAGCATCGGTTCATGGGGAAACCGATTCAGCCAGCAAAGGTGCAAAATGGTCGTAAACGAGTTCCGAATGGTGTGGGGTAATTTTGGGTTTGATATCGCACTCAGGAGCATGTTGTAGCTGAACTGTTTGCTCAAGACCTGTGAATATGTATGTATAGCACCTTAAACGCGATATCATCGGACAAGATGGTACCTCGATCGCAGAGATGCACCCGCCACGCAGCAACTCGGCAAACAACCCGAGCTGGAGCTTGTAATAGTTGGCCAGCACTTGGAGTCGTTCAAACATTTCAACCTTTTCCGGGTCTTTTGAGATGGTTTGGAACTGGTCTGCCCACGGTTTGTTGTTGAACACAAGGGGAAACATGTCTTTGGGCTGGAGCGTCCACGTCACGTGCTCGAGAAGTACCCACTGCCGTGGCAGAGGCTCCTTGCACAGATGCTTGTCGTACTGAATCAGGTCCTCCGACACCAACGCGTCGACAATCGTCGACAACTGGAGCTCGTCCGCTTCAAAGTACAGCCCTGACGCCCCCATGAACCAGTTTGCACAACTTTTCCAACTGATGGCGACGTTCACCATGCCCTTGTTGAGCATCGAGTACCCCATGGGATGTCCGTCGTGGGAGAAGCTGCTCGACCCGCTCGGGGCAGCGAGGACAAAGTCTTTGCTACTCACAGAAACAAGTTTACGTAAGCGTTGATTTATTTCATACAGTGGATGGTTGGAACCGACATGATGGCTGGCACGGCGCGTACGGGAGTGGGGCACTCGCACGATTCGATGAGAATGTTGTGCCTTGTGTCTTGCATGTCTTGGTCGTCGTTCAAGCTGTAGAGAGCCCGCACGATCAGCTACGCACCCCAGTCGTCGGTGAGGAACCGAATGCGATTGCTGAATATGGCCAACAGATACGATACCTCTTGGTTGTGCGAAATGTTTTGGCCGTGGTGTGAGCAAATGGTCGACAGAAACTGCAAAATACCGGATGCTTTCACGCCTTTGGCTTGGATGCTGCGGCAGCTCGACTTGATCAATGCCAGATCAACCTTTTGCTCGAGAAGTTCGCCGTTGTTGAGAAAGAGGCTACGGTACACCGACTTGGAGCCAGTTTCTGATCCAATGTTGTCTAGGGTTTCGTCCATGTAGGTCAGGGTATCTTGAGGGGGGGCTACGGGGATCGTAAAGGGGGAAGGATTATCCATCATGTCTTGTCGATAATCATCGTTTTCCGTAGCTTGCCGCAAGAAATACTGATCGGCGGACCGGTTGGCAATATAGTTCTTGTTGACAATGTTGTCTTGGACGACACACACGAGCACCTTGTTGGAGAGCCGGTGGATGCGATGGAGGACTTTGTACTTGGGGTCCGCCGCCAACGTGGACATGGTCACGCGGTGTTGCCGAATGCCGCGCAATACTTGGTACAGGACGTCAATGAGTTTGATTTCCCGCGCCTTCTCCTGCCGTGCGGGCACGGGGGCCCCTTCAAAGAAGACTGGGTCGTCGTTCGGGACCTTGCGCGTGTCATCGTCGTCCGCCGCTCCCGAGTCTTGCCGCGTGAGCAAGAACGACACGAGAAGCTTGAGCGCCGTCAGTTTCTCGTACATAAGTTCGTGAGTAATGCGAATGTTGAGGGAAAGTGCCGTGGATAGATCGTGGTCGTAGCGACGGAGGTGCTGCACCGCACTGTGCAGAAAACACGCTTCTTGCGTTTCGGTCTCGGACGCAGCCACAAATCGAAAGCAATCCTACACCGCGTATCGTCCATAGTTGAGTTTGTACGAAAAATAGGAACAAGTGTAGTGGACCTGGTCGAACTGATGGGTGGTCGCCGTGAGCGTTAAGCTGGTCTTGTACTTGGTGGACGACGAGATTTTCGGGCGAGGATTGGTTGGTTTGGGTTTGTTGGGGTTGTGTAGTCGGTAGAGTACTCCGTTGTCGTGTCGGCTCTGGATGATTCAACACCTGTCAGCCATCCATTTCTAACCAATCATGCGCTATATAACTACCTCAACACGACAAGACAATTGCGCGGCATTCGCCATGGCTCCACTGGACGACGGAGTGAGTCGAAAGTACGCGCCGTCGCCATTGGCTTGGTCAGGCGTCGCGCTCGTCAGTGCCACTTGACTCGCATCGTCGTCGTTGGCCTGCGGTCCAAGGGATAGGTACCGGCCTACACTCTCAAATTACGTACCTCCTTTAGGTACAATCGTCGTACCTGTTGCCAAATGTCGAAGGCGGCACTTATCGTCCCAGTTGGTCACACGGCCCCCTTCCAACGGATTCGCCTTCTCCAACACAAACAACGACTTGAGCGTGAGATTCTCGGGTGCGTTGTATGTCGTGGCAGGTCGCACGAGCCGCAGATACGGCGGTTTAGTGGCGGCATTTGGGTTGGCTGACATTGTGACGTAGCCCTGGCCTTCCAAGTGAAAAATGCGATACAGTTTGCCAGCCTAAAGTACACATCACAAGACATCTGAACAACGGAACAAAGCAGTAGGCAGAATTACTTGAAGGGCCCGCCCCACGTCAGGCGTTGCGGCTGCGTACTTGATCACTTTGACGATGGTTTCCTTGGCATTCATGTTAACTTCCTTGCGCTGGAGTTGGTCGCGAGGGTACGACCGTTGGCTCAAGTGTAAAAAGTGTTTGGTGTACTTGGCTCTCGATACGCAGACCTGCCACCACAACGTTCGTGTTAGAGCTCTTGGAACGAGAACATTTTTTATGGCTAGTTACCGCATCGTTGAATTCCACAGAGCTGCCGACCGATCGTGTTTTATAGCGCGGTAGAAACGTAAACCAGCACTTGGTCGAACCTTCTTCTTGCAACGTGAGCTACGGTATCACCGTATATCAATCGTGAGGAAAATTATATCGAGAAGCGCCGAGCAAAGCCAACCTTCATGCAAGTCTTGTCCACATCGGCCAGGGTCTTCACGCGAGACGTGAGAAACTTTCCTGACCGCACGTGCTGAAGCTGAATCGTTTGACCGTACAACACAACCTGGCCGTCGTCGCCTGTCCGTCGACACACGGTCGCGTTCAAATCGCTTTCGACTTTGGCCTGCTGGGCCATGAGTATGTACTTGTCACTTCCTTCGGCAAACTGCGACTTGATGCGCAGCAGGGCTTTGTGGGCCTCGTAGCTTAGCTTGGGGAGCACTTTGAACAGGCATCCCTCCAACTCCTGCGCGGCGTCGTGTTGCGACGTCATCTCGATGCACCCCAGCCGCTCGTCCACGAACCCGTCCGAGTGAACATTCCCTTCCCCGTCGATCTTCAGGTAGATAGTATCGCCTTCGTAAAGGGCATTCGCTTCATGACGCCGCGGGGCCCGCTCCATGCCCTCCAACCTCGACGAACGTGCGACGAATGGTCGAAACATGTGAAACGCCGAACGCGTCCTTTCAAAAGATATGGTTTCGCCCAACCAACTCTAAGTCCACAACGACCACTATTCCATCATGTTCTGTACCCACGGAATATTACTACGTAGTAATACTCTGAGTACACAGTAGTACTACTGTTTGTGAAGCAAAGAAAACAGTAGCTTCGAAGTATGTTTCTTGCTTATGTACTACTACGTAGTACGTAGTATTACTTTGAAGAGTCGACGACGAAATTTTGCAGTTACACCATGATATGATGGTGTTCGTCGTGGATATCGGTTACGTATAAAACTCGAAAATCCAACATGCCTGGAAGCGCTATTGCGACGCGACGCAAGTCGAATGTTGTCTATGAAGGAGACATCATGTACCTGGCAATTGACGGCGACGACGGCAATGTACATTCCGATGGGTTCGTAGACGAAGGGCTAACTGCTCTGGGCAACGCCAACAATTTGCATGGCGAAGGGTGCCTCTTCAAAATCCTGCCAAAGCTGTCGTACGAAGCACACAAAGCCCTCAGGCACGCCACGGTGGTGCCCGGCAGCGAAAAGCATGTTTTGTTGACTCAACAGGTGAAAGTCGAAGTCGAAGCGAATGCAAGCATCGTGGCTCGCATTGGCACTGGGGCGGGCCAGCCGGTGGTGTTTGGGCAGCCAATTCAGCTGCAGCACGTGGTGTCTGGCAAATTCCTAACGTCGCACTCCAAAGCATTAGCGGACATGGACAAGTCTTGTATGAAGGTATTTTTTTATTCATTCTCTCCACTAACTGTGCAAGAGACCAATCACTCCACTAGGTGTCGCTGCAAGCACACGGCTCGTCCAAGAGTTGGTTCACATTCATTCCACGCTATCGCCATCGCGTCATTGGCCAACCCCTGACATTCCAGGAAACAGTACGGACAAGTGAATGACATTGCCGTCATTCGTTAATGCTTGTGGGTTGGATCTGCTAGGTGTGCCTTGTACGTTCCAAGAGCCACTCGTTGTATGTGCACTTGAGCCGGAGTGTGAATGGTCACGGAGAAGTCAACGTCCACCACAAAGCCACCGACATGAAACTCGTGTCGTACCACTCGAGTCGACGCGCCACGACGACGACGACGGGGCTACGGGTACTCTATTATTACGAGAATGAGTTGGCATATATATGAGTAAACGAAAACGGTGCTTTGGTCTAGTTTGGCAAGCTCTACCGCCTATACCACGTGGAAGGCAAAGCATTTGTCGCGTTGTCTGCAAATCCATCAAGTGAACAAGCGGTGACAAAACCGCCCTACTTGCGATACATTGTGCCCGACTCTGCTTACGTGGACGACGTCAACATGACGGTCAAGTCGATGTTCGTTCTCGAGCGAAGCAGCAACCCCCTGGAAGGAGGGGACTTGGTCGAGTTTGCATCGCCGATACGATTCCGCCACCTTGTCACGGGTACGTACGTTGTGTGGATTCAAATGTTATCGCTCATTATTCTTTACTAGGGCGGTATCTGGCAGTGGCGATTGATCCTCCTGCCATTGAAACTGAGGTCAATGTGGAGCACATGCAAGACAAACAAACAGTTTTGCGACTTCACAGCACGACAAGGCAAGATGCGGGCACTGCCTTCTACTTGACACCGTCGGGCGGGGACAGCCAAACCGTGTATCGCATCGAGGTGAGTGTCCATTTTCGTTTCGGGGAGGATGCAACAACTTGCAGCGAAACGAAGTGCAAACTCGACCTGATATTGTCTACCGGTGTAGACGCAAGCCCGCGGTGGTGTCAAGTATCGGTTGCACAACCCAAACCGGCCGAAACCTAACCGAAGCGGTAAAGCCACTGCCAGCGGACACGTTGTGGCGACCACCGATTTGAGCGACCAGGTTCGAACACCCGCAACCCTAGCCCACCATCGTGACATGACATTGTAGGATGTGTTTCACTTGGTGGAAGTGGCCGAGGCGGACGTTCACGACACGCACTTGCTGCTCAGTGTCACGACGCACCTACGTCACCACTTCAACCTCCAAGACGCGTTGGACCGCGGAAATAGCGTGAGCTTTGAGTCGATGAAAATCCCGCTGACAGCGCTGCGCCTTCTCTTGGCTTTTTTCGGGGGCCAATCGGCAGCCTCGATCAAACCCGCGAGTACTTCCAACTCTACTGACCACCACCACACCCAGCGACAAGACAAAGCGAGGCAGGTTAAACTGATCGATACGCTGTTTGCCATGTTGCGCGTGGTGCCAGCCAACCATTTGGACATGTCGCAGATCGCCGTAAATCCGCGGCGACGAGTCATCCACCGCCTCCATCAATTGATTAACACGGTGCTCGAGCACTTGTTGCGCGAGAACGTAGCCAACAAACATTACATCACGACCAGGTCCGTCGTCTCGCCTACGTCGCCGTCGTCGTCTGCGACAACGTACTTGGACGAGATCATGCACGCCATTGGGTCCGAGACCGGAGCCAAGCGCGTGTACTGCCGGGCGTTTGAGAACAACGTCGACTTGCTGGAGCATCGAGTGAACATGCGACTCGTGGCAGCGTCGTTTCGACGGCTCCAAGACAAGGGGGTGCGGGCCATGGGTATGTTGCCGTTCTTGGCTACAATTTGCTCGTGTCATGGTCGTACGATTCCTGCAAACCAAGAGGTATGGCAGAATAGCATATTCCGTATTCTGACTATATGTACAGTTGATTGCTCGGGCGTTGTACAGTATCGATCCCGATGTGCCATTTGCCCGATACAACTTGGTCGTGGAAGTGGCTTCCTGCGCCGCGACGGACCGCTGTTTCATCACTAACAGCATGTACACAATTACAATGAAAAGAGAGAGTTCTGCATTCATCACTGCCTTGAAATGTCCTAGGAAATCCATGGCATTGACGATACCCCAGTGTATGGAGTCGCACGGCATCGACTGGAAGCCTCCTGGCCATGAAATGGCCGAACAAGGCGCTAGAAACATTGCGATTTCGTGGAAGAGTTGCAGCGGGTGGCAGCCAGGGGCGAACGCGTTGTACCACGCCCCCGAAGAGCTTGGGTTGCCGTTGGAGCTGACGGCAGTTGTATCGGAGGACCTAGCACAGTATCGCCTGTCGTATCTGTCGCCAGAACTGTTGTTTATGGAACAAAACCAAGGAGTGGCGGCGCTTGACGGCGATTCTGACCCATCGATTCCATCGATTTTCGACACATTTTCGATGAAGAACCTGATCGAACCTACGGTTCCACATGGTAAAAATGGTTTGATCACGAAAGACCCAATGTTTCCTGGAGCTCGTACGTTCGACGTACGTGTTTACATCCACATAACAAATCGTCGTTGGGGTAGCGAACAAAACGGGCGAGAAGATGAAGCCCTCCGAAGTACTCCAAGCCACCACAACCTGTGAAAAATCCGAGGGTTTACAGTTAGTACTAATTGGAGGTTCAGCAAGTACTAGTACGTATTGCCGCATTGGTTCTCCATAATGACAGTCGTTGACTTGGCTACCAATAGGAACACCCGAACCCTACGAGCCTAACAACGCTAGCAAAGCAGACACCGCCAGGGCCACCGAATCGACCCCATCCGTCCCCCACACTGGCCCAAAGTGGGTGCTACTGGAGCACATCGCGTGGACGTTGCAACCGCAAACGTTATACCCTCTCTTGTTCAACATCAACAAGAAGGACATGATTCCGTGGTCGGAACTCGAAGCAAAAATGCCTCGCACTACACGGGACCACTTTATCCGGTTGCGTGACTTGGCGCAGTATTTTCAATTGCAGCTCGACCTGCTCGTAGAACTCGTTCGAGGCGGGTCGGCGTCCTCTATCCAGGTACAGTTGGTCTACATTCCTAGCCTTTTGGTCACGTATCAACAAATTCAGTCGTTAGGTTGTCACCCGGCAATTCAGCTACACCATGTTGCTGGGGGCCATCTCGAACGAGCGACTTCCACATTGCCTTCGAACGGCGTTTGGATTGCTCATGCATCATTGCTACGTCCACGTATTTCCCCATGAACCCATTGTCTCGGGCAGTCGCGTGTTTGTTTACGAAGACATTCCAAAACTGAATACTAAACGACATACCACCTTGGTTCGTACGGCCGACACCTACATTATGAGACCATCATTCCTTAACTTGTTGGGCTAGCCGTGTACTGCATTCCAGCTCGACGCTGGCCATCCCGCAGTCGCCATTGGCCTCGCCACCAAGGACGACTTCCTCTCGTATCCCCATCCAAACAAACTCTCGGTGCTCCAAGCCGTGCTCTTCTCCATCGTGGCCAAGTTCTCGGCGACCCCGGTGCATCAGCTCACGGTCGAATCCACAGCATTCCTTCGCGCGCTGCTGCACATGCTTCACGACCTGCTTCGCTTTGGCTTTTACGCCGACGTGGACATGCAAAAGCGACTCGTGGGGCTACTCATGGGACTCCTAGACGGCCGCAACACGGGCACTCTGCACGACGACCAGCGCTACCGCCGTACGCCCCTCCATGACGCCATGACCACCACGAAATCGCAGATTTGCCACATCTTGTCCACGCTGCACACCATGTGGCGAGACATAGAAGTCACCCGCGTGATGTCGTTCTTCAAGCACGTGTACCTCGAGCCCACGTCGAAGTGGTCGGCGGCGCTCCACAAAAAGCGCCACGGGGTCGTGCGCGTGTCGGACGTTGTGAAATTGTTGGACGACCCGTCGCTGGACTTGCTTGTGCTGTCCAACGGCACATTGGACTTTATCTGTGTGGACTTGATCATGTACGACGACAAGGTGCTCGTACACGAGGCGATGAAGCTGATGATCCAGGCCAACACGCGCCGGGAACAGGTGCTCCGAGCTGTCATGGATTGCCTCCTCGTGTACAGCTCCCCCCCATCACGGGGGGCGTCAGTCGGGGGGCTCAAAGCCTCACCCGGCTACCACGTGTTCAAGGAACTCAGGGGGATGCTGCCGACGCTCAAATACAACGTTTCCCTCGCGCAGAGCCCCGCGATGACTGCGGATTTGGCGGCCGTCCTCACGACGCTGCGTGCGATGGTGGTGCAGTTGACAGGGTGCTGTGTGGACACGTCGCCGACAGGGCTGTCGGTTCCCCTTGGAGGCAGCCGCAAGTCGAGTTTTTGGGGCATGGTCACCCCCGTCTCGACCACCCGACACAAGTTCCCCAACTACGAAAAGCAGCGCGTGGTGCTGCACCTTCGTGTCCACGAACAAGTGATTCCGCTGCTGCAATTGCAAGCGCGAGACGACGTGGCGACGGAATTGGCCGCCGTCCAAGCCGCCGTATGTGACTTCCTCACGCACTTGGTTCAGCAGCACCCCGCAGGGCAACACGCAATTTTCAAACACTTGCCGACGTTGTGGCCTCGGTTTGGTACGTGCGGCCACTGAAAGCTTAAAGTGTTGGTGGTGCTCACGAGATTCGAGTTTGTTTTATAAGTCCAGTATTGGTCACGGTAAGTCTGATGGATGTATAGACGACGTCAGTGGAATGGGAGATGTGTTGATTGCGCTGCTCATGCACAATGCCACGCTGTGCAAGAACCTGCCCGAGGAAGCTATGTGGAAGATGGTGCGGATACTTGACGGCCACTGCCAACGCCTGGCACGCCGACCCGACCGCGCCGCCGCTCCTATCACGTCCAAGGGCCATCGGGGGAGTCCGACGTCCGAGTCGTTTCAAGTGGTGTGTCAGATCTTCGACTTTGTGATGGTATACATGGCCCCCAATGAGATGCCGTGTGCGTCCAACCAACGGCTGTGGCTTGATGTGTTCACACATGCGCAGTTTACGCACACGGTGCCGCCATTCGCCGCGGGTATTGAATATTGGATGGACGTGCTGTCGGACGAGATCATCGAGTCCGCGGGGTACCGTGCGCTGGTGGACGCCGTGCAGTCGCCAGACCAACCCCACCAACTGCATTACTTTCAAAAGGTGCTTGTGCTCATGGGGCTCTCATGCCGAGGGCGGAACCTGCCGTGTGAAGTCAAGTGCCAGCAAACGTACCCGCTTAACTTGATCCTCACGCTTCTCTTGGACGCCAAGATGCCCATGGGGCTCAAATACGTTGCGAGTCGGTACTTGACGCTGGTGTTTCTGCACGCCGACGGGTTCACAGAGCTCACGTCGCTGCAGTCCCCCATGTGGCGCCTTCTCATGCAAAGCTCCAACACGATTGCCGACTTTGCCGCGAGCAACAGTCAGCGGTTTCTCTACCGAAGCGACGACCGCAACTTTCAAGACTTGTACTCCGAATACGTGTACTTTGGGCTCTTAGACGTTGTCACATGCTTCTTTGCCCGGGTGTTTCGTCCCGCGGCGCACCATATCCACGTCGACGGCCAAATCACTGCGATTCGGACCGCACTGGCAACGGCCTTGGCTGCGTTGGCCGAACGGTCGGCTGCGGACGCTGCGCAGTCCAAGGTAAGGATACCATGTCTGCCACTTTGCATCAATGTGAATATACCTGTGGGTAGGTTTGCCACAACTGCAGAGTAGCGGTGGGGCTGGTCGAATCGACGTCCGGAACGTTCTCTACGACGGCAGCAGGCCGCGGTCGAGTCTTGCGACGAGACGACAGCGCCAAACTGCAAATGCAATCGAGCCCGTACGACCGGTTCAAACTCGAATTGTCTGTTGACGACGCCATTCAAGCCACGCTGACCAGTGAATTCCACGCCCTTATTCGGCGGTGGGAGGCCATAGACATTGAGCGTCACAGCCACAGCTCCAACGTCACGCAGCGCCTCTTTTGTACGAAAATCATCGAGTTTGTCGAAGCCAACCCGACGTCCGGTACGTTTTCTTGTACGCATGATGGCAGCTAACATGGTTGTTCCGTAGGATGTGTCGTAGACGCGCTCAAAATTTTGCACGAGCTGTGCGCCAAGCATCATGTTTCCGCCGACGACAAGAAGGTCATGGCCGAAGTCGACGTCGAAGAGGCCATGGACAAGCACACGACAATGCAAACATTTCTCGCCAGGTTTGCCACGTTCTTAGTCCAAAATTCTCAAGCAATTCTGGTGGTGTAGTTGTGGCGCCGCGAGGATGGTGGTGCATGTGATTGCCACGAGCAGTCGCGCCCCCGTCGTCCTCTGCGCCATTCGCCTCGCCTCGGAGTTGCTCTACGGAGGCAACATCGACGTCCAGACGCTAGTGATTGACAGCCTCGTGGCGCGGCAAGACGATAGGTTGGATCGATCAGATTGATATCATTCAATAAGGTACCAATCGTCCCCGATAGATTTTTCGTTCAAGTCGACAAGCTACTGCGCCACGAAATTGACCGGGTTAAGGAAGCTCGCCGATTGACCAAGCTGATGGGCGAAGTGCGGCCTGAATTCCGTCGACGCGGCTCCGAGATAACGTCGTCTCAGAAACCCAAGGCCACCGTAACAACCTCGAGGCCATTGATGGGGGGGTCGCCTCATGCGGTGGGGGACGATGACCATAACGTGTCGGCCGACCTCGTCATTCAGTTTCTCACGGTCCGCTGCGTGTCTATCTAACAACAATAATACCAACTCATGCCGAAATGGTAGCAATGTGCCAAAGGGCACTTTCGGCGGATGCAAACGGCCATGTTGACTCAATCGGGTCTGGGCCACCCGTCCACCGTGAAGAACGTCAACATCTTGGCGTCCGTGGTCGCGTTCATGTCGATTTTGGTCAAGGACGAGCTCACGTTGGCGAGTTTACCGTTGGAAGATGGCGAGTCGCTGGTCCAGTGCTGGGCGTTCCTGGCCGTGTATATGCAAGGGCCGTGCAAAGAGAACCAGGAGTACTTGCTCCAGTCATCGCCCATGGTTGAACTCTTTCGCAAGACGCTCAAAGTGCACTTGGTCGTTCCCCTAACGGCACATCCAGTGGACAATGACGGCGTCCAGATCGTCGTGGAAAAACTGCTCAAAGGACATGCAACTAAAGCCATGGTGAGTGCACTGGAAGGTCGCATGACGTCTGCTTCGATCACGCGACTTTGCAGTGGCCTCGAGGTTGGCGCCATCAAGCGGCGACTGGTGGTGCGTCCTGTATCACTGTCCATACTCAATCATGTTGTTCTTCGAGCTTATCAACATGTAATGGATAGGAAATCCACGAGCAATTCCAACTTGAAAAAGACAAGCACGTCCAAGACGTAACGTGGGACGAACGGTTCTTAGAAGAAGGCTTGGACTTGATCACGTTGGCCAAGGTAGCTTTCGGCGCTTCGTTTGATGTAGCCGACATGCCCATGCGAGTGAAGCGTGTGAACTTTGTGTCCGAGGACGCATACGTCGTGGCCAAGCGAGCGTGGCAAGAGTCGATGCGGTTCTACACTGCCCACGCTTTCTTTGCATCGATGCACCACTCGGTGGAGATCTGGTGGGGCGCCGACATTGGCATTGAGACAGTGTACTTTGCGCTGCCATCACACTGTCGCATGCTGGCTTGCCTTGGGCCAAAGAAGGACCGTCTGCTCAACGAACTCAATTACAAGTCCAACGACAGGCTCAAACAGTTTGTCAAGGCCACATATGGTTTTGACCAGGAAATGCAACACATGGAAGTGCTCAGCACGTTCAAGTTGTACAACGTCGTAAGGCCGTACATTCCGCACTTCAAAACCGCCAGTTTCTTCTTGGCGATTAGCATGAACGTCATCATGGTAATAAAGTGTGCAGTGGTCGTTGGTTCGTCAAGAACGTCCGGATAAGAGTCGTCGTTCGTGCATTCGCATGTATATCATCTGTATGTAGGTCGTGGCCGTGGCGAGAGACGACACCCGGACGCATTTCATCATGAAGCCCCAGCCGCTGTTCGACGCGCAGACGGTCATGGGCAACTTCCAAGTGTTCTTCTCGTTGTGTGTACTCATGTTTATCCTCGTGATTTCCGTCCCGCTCGTGTTTCGACGCCGATGGAACGTGCGCACCAAACACGCGATGCTCGAGTACAAGCTCCACCGGTCCATCGGTTCGTTGGACTCGGTGCTTGACTTGGACGAGCTCAAGATCCAAGTCGAAGTGCGCGTAGAACAGTCGCGCGTGTGGTGGGCGCACCTCCACGCGTCGTACGGGACGTTTGGCAAACTCATCTGTCTCGTGTTGCTGTTGCAATTTACCCTCATGCAGGCGACGCCCAACCTGCCGTCGTGGCTTCCCGGTACGAAACAAACGTTTGTGTTTTTTTCAATTGTCTAACCCGTCGGTCGCCGTGTCCAATTTTAGTCGCGCTGCTGATGCTACCGTTCATTCAAAGCACCCGCATGTACTTGGAGAATGGCAGCGGATACGGCGCGTTCATTTTTACGGCCCTGTACGACGTCGTCCTCGACAAGTACACGGCGTTTTACTTTTTCTATTTTGCGATTTCTGTCGGCGGGCTCATTGTGCACCCGTTCATGTACATGTTTCACCTGTTTGACATTGTCATGATGAGCCCGACGTTGCAAAACGTGGTGGCGTCCGTGACCAAACCAGGTCGGGTGCTGCTGCTCACCACGTTGCTCGGCCTCTGTGGTATCTACTTCTTCGCGATGCTCCTCTTCTTCGCCCAGCCCACAGACGCCGTGGACCAAGTCAACCACGTGGCGTACTGCAAGACGTTGATGGACTGCTTTGCGCTGTGCGTCCACCGCGGCATCCCGCACATCGGCGGCGTCGGGTACATCCTATCCGATGGGTTCCACAACCCACCGCAGTTCCTGGACCGCACGCATTACTGGAGCCGCATCGTGTACGACGTGGCATTCTTTGCTTTTGCAGTGATCATGCTCAACATGATCTTCGGGATCACCGTCGACACATTCAGCGACCTGCGCACGGACAGCGCCGACCGCGCCGAGCTCAAAATGAACCAGTGCTTTGTGTGTGGCCAAGCCCGCGCAGTGTTTGACAACCATTACATTCAACGCGGCCTGCCCAACGGGTTTCAGAAGCACATTGACGAAGAACACAACATGTACGAGAAGTGCTTGTCCTGGGAGGGCTGGCAGCGTTTGTTGAGTGTGACGTGAATAGGTGGCACTACATGTATTTCCTCGTGCATGTCAACTCGAAACACCTGATCGAATGCAACGGACCAGAAGCCTACGTCAAGAAACTGCTGGTGAAGGAGGATTTGTCTTGGTTTCCGCAAGGAAAGGCGGCGTGCCTTGACGCCACCAACACCCGCCAGTCTGTCAAGGACGACCTCGTCCAGATCAAGTCGCAGCTTCAATCGCTCGGTCTACAGGTAGTTCGACCCACCCCAGACTACGCCATATACCTTTGTCAAGCTGTGTATATATGTTTTACACTCTCCATGGGCTAGTCCGAAGTTGTGGCGGACCTTTTCCAACGCAAGCGCGATAGCAAGGCAAAAAACGCCACCCGCGCCGTGTAACCGTCGCCAAGTAGAATGTTTGTTAACCCTGACTTCACCTGAATGTTGGTGTTTGTTTGTTTACTTGGAAATTTCGGATAAAGAATTACTACTACGTAGTAGTACTAGTATTAATACTTCGAAGTAACTATTGTTCACGCAATCCTGACCTGTAATAAGAATGGGAGAATGGGTGGAGATATTAAAAAATATCTCCACCCATTCGTATTGATTAAAACGGCTTTTAATATTTTAATCGAAAAGATTTGCACAAAGACACGCAAACTCGTTGGTTTTCGCAAAGATTTCTCAAATTATTCCCAAAATTGCACGACGTTTGAAGTCGCTAGTGTTCTATTTTTATACGTTCGTAAACCGAGGGAGTTCTTTGGCATACATTCTCCCCATAGTGCCATTTTGCAACTTTCAAGTGCGGTACAAATCCCTCCAGCGCTGGCTCCCCACTCGTCGCCGACCTGCTGCCGCCATCCTCCGCACTCCAGACTCGTCCGTACCGTCTTCCATTAGACCACAGACATCTCTCTGCAAAGAAGCATACACCCCGAGGTCGCGATCTTTTGAACGAAAGAACAAACACCCTCCATCCCACAGGTACAGAAATCAGTCGCCGTCATGGCATATCGACCGACATGTGCGTGGGTAGATGATGCAAGTTCAGAACCTGCAATCAGCATCCCCGTTTCGGAATACCGGCGGGCATTGCCCGAGTAGTCCAAGCTATCTCCACCATGTCGACGACTTTGACAGCGTCGTGTCGGCAAATCCCCAGCCGCCGACAACGACGTCGTCTACCGGTAGTCGAGGGAAACCTACGATGGACGAGGTCATGGACGAACTCCAAAGCCGATTCCTTATGAACCTTCCGCAATCCGAACTGTCGTCGAGCGAGCGCCTGTTTTTCCAGATTGAACAGTGCTACTGGTTCTACGAAGACTTTTACGCCGACCACCACAACCACTTGACCCATCTCAAGCTCAACGACTTTGCGCGCAAGATGTTCAACCACTGTGTGCTCCTCCAGCCTCTCAAGCAAAAGTGCGAGAGCATGTTTCAGGACTTCAAGACGTACCAAAGCCAGATCCCCGTCGTCGGGTGCATCCTGCTCAACCCGGCCAAGACCAAGCTCGTGCTCGTGCGCAACTGGAAAGGCACGTCGTGGAGTCTTCCCCGGGGAAAGGTGAACCAAGGCGAGACCGACTTGGAGTGTGCGCGGCGCGAAGTGTTTGAAGAGTGCGGGTACGACCCGGCGGCCGCATCGTCCTCCTCCACGATCGTCTCGGACGTTGACACGGTGCTGGGCATCAACGCCAAGGACTTCATCGAGTTTCACGTCAACCAGCAACGCATTCGCATGTACATTGTCACGCAAGTGCCGGAAGAGTTCAACTTTGCGCCGCAGACGCGCAAGGAGATCAGCTTGATCCAATGGTTTGACTTTGACGAGTTGCCGAAGAAGACGTGGGGCGTCCTCCCGTTCATGTCGCGGCTGCGTCGATGGATCACCAACGACACGAAGAAGGCGACTGCCAAGAAAAAGGCGACCCACACGCCGGTGAAATCGAGGTCCGTGTCGGCGCCGCGCCACCGCCCCGCCAAGACGGACGCGTACCCGCCGCGGCCGACGTCCCCACCGCTCCCCAAGGTTCCGGTCGTGACCAACCCCCACCACCAGCACCTCGCCTTGACAGCGTCGTCGGCGCGGTCCATGTCGACCCCCCACGCGCGGCCCAAAGCCAAACAATCGCCTCAACCCCCCCCCCGAGGCCACTTCGGCACCGAGCACCAAAGCGCCACGTCATCTGATCACGTCAACGACCAAACTTTCGGACCGATGACTTGCTCATTCAGTTTCAACGTGGACGAGATGTTCCGCATCAACGAACAGCTCACGGGGCACACGTTCAGCTACGACGGCAACCCCCACGAGTTTGGCAAGGCGCCGCCCAAGCGAGCCGATGTCCAGTCGCGACTGGCGGCGGCGTCGGCGCCGCCTCCTCCTGAACACATCCAACCCACGCACGTTCCACCCACGACGACGACCAACGCTGTGTTTGCGGCATTTACGTTTGACACGACCGAGATCATGGCGTGTGTCAAGTAAGCCGCCGCCGCCTCCTTGGCGATGATCCTCTTCGTCGTTGGAACCAACAGGATACCTTGTGGCAAAAACATCTCGAGGCCATTTGGAAATATGTTTGGGGATGGCGGTTGATGTGTGTATATATCTATTGTATGTTTGGGGATGAAATTATTCTACAAATCCCCACGGTGTTTATCAACACCACCCATGTACATGTCAAGAAATGATATATCGTCGTCCATGGCCATCCATGTGGTTATGACAAACTACTTTTGCTTATGGAGGTGTGATGTCGGCAACAACGTCCACACAGCCCCAGTGGGCGACAGGCCAAAGTTGCCGTCGGCGATGCTCGGAGGCAGCTCGTATGATGCCACCGGATGTAACCGCGCGTGGGGAAGGAACTGCCGACCGGGATCGCCAAGCAGGACATGGACGCCTTGAGCGGCCAGCGCGTGCAGCCATGCAATGACGTCAGTGGCAAGCGGTTCTTCGTAGCACACGTCGCCCGCAAGGACGACCCAGTCGGAGGGGGAGGATGACGACGTCGATTGAGGGTGCGCGGCACTCATGGTGGCGTCATGCACGGACGACAACGGCGTGCCGACAAGGTTGCCGTCATACACGTGAAACGACGTGGCCAAGGTCGACGCAGGGAGGTTCGCGGCGGCGTTGATCAACGAAGCGGTACATGCCCACGAATCAATGTCGTTCGCGATGCTCGCTGACGCGCCGACGTGCAACGCTACAATGGACGCGATGCCACAACCTGCTGCAAAGTCGAGGACCAACTTGCCTCGCACGACTTCGGGGTTTTCGAGGAGGAAGCGGCAGAGTGCGTAGCTCCCAGGCCAGCAGAACCCCCAAAACGGGTCTGGAAACGGAGCCATCAGCGCTGCCTCCTCTGCTGATGCAGTGTACAACGGAGACGCAGGCGTGATGAGCTGCAGGCGCAAGAAGTCGAGGTGGCGGCAATCTATGTGCGTCGCCTCCGAGTGCCTGGTGATGCCATCGACGTAGGGAGAGGTGAGAAAGTTCGTGCTGAAGCGGCGCTGGTCGGTCTTGCCATCTTTAACCATGTGTGGATCGAATACGCTAATGGAACGGCGGCCGACGAACCGCCATGGTGCTGCATGATGACGAGCTGCAAGGAACATGTGCATTAAATCTTACAAGGTCAAGTATTACATTCCAAAGGTTTTTACGGACAGGGCGGGTAATTTAATTTGAAATAATTTTAAAACTGAATGTTATGTAGTACACGGTAATAATATAAATTGATGGATTGTCACCCGCCCGTTGATTCAAAGCAAATTCGAAATCGACGTGAAAGGAAGATGGCAACCCACGCACAACCCATCGCCGCAAGAATTGAGCAGCAGATCAACGACATCTTCAACTCCCGCCAGGTTAACGGCTCTCTAGACGTTGACCAACTTGTGGGGCTGTGCGAAGAACTGGAGCTTCTGACGTGGAGCTCCGGCCCGACACCCATGCACGCGAGCTTGTACGCGATCTTCCTCGCAGGACTCCTCACGCTCCGGGAACTCAACCGTGCCAAGTATCTGTGGAAACGCATCCCGAACGGTAGCAAGACGGATGGATTGCCTGAGATCTGGGCTGTCGGCCAAGCATTGTGGAAGCGTGAGATTGGCCAAGCGTATGCCGCGATTGCAGCGCTCGAAGGGTTGCCGCTGCCAGTCCACGTGCAAACTATCGTTGCCACTTTAAAAGCTTCGATCCGAGAGTACAATGCGTCGCTTTTGTCTCGCGCGTATACTAGTGTGTCGACCTCTGTCGTCGCCCAAGCGCTCGGACTGACGTTGGAAGACGCATTGAAGTGTAAGTACCCATCCACGGCCCTCGTCGTGACTTCCTACCATGCTCACGTATCATGTAGTCTGTGCGTCGCAGCATTGGAATATCAAGGGGGACTTTGCATTCCCCAACTCCGACGGCCAACGCGCGTCAGTCGTCGCTCCCACTCCTTCCTTGCCCGACCTAGACCAACTGCACAAGCTTTCGTCGTACATTTTGCATCTCGAAGCACAAACTTCGTTGAAGATTTAACACCATCACATAAATTTGGCCTTGGTTCATTGTGCATTGTCATGATATTATATATATCACGGCGCCACCCAGCAGCAATATTCCGTCAACAGCGCTTGAAACGCTTGTACTTCCCGCATGATGCCGGCAGAAACCCCACTGCTGGAGCCAGCATTGTCCAGCACTCGCTGCACATGTTTCTGCATCTCGACGAACTCTCGAAAGCACACATCGCAACGCGCAGCCCTGCATGTACACATATACCTTCAACGACGGCCCATTTCGGTTGTCATCGTGATATGTACCGATCTTCGCTGGCAAAATTGACTTCGCGACTGTTCTTGCGACTGGCGCGGTGATCCCGCACCAGTGGCCCAAACGACGTGACGAGCACCTTGGCCACTGCCACCCCCGTCGCAATGTACCTATATTCCCATCATGAACCATGACCAGTCAATTGTTCGAGTCGGGAGTTTCAAAAGGCAATTTGGGTCATGTACTACTACTGTACAAAAAAATGATGATATATTGGTGGAAATGATATATGGGTCGTACGAGTTGGACGTTGTCGCGACTAATTCGGACGCGAGGGGGAGTACGAGCACACATCCTTCCAAGTCGAGGCCGATCGTCGGTAGGTCCATGGCACCGAGGACATCGTTCGAGATGGACTCACGGTTGCCGCCACTGGGCAATTGCCCCAGGTATCGGAACCCACCTAATAAAACCAAACGAAGCCCGGAATTAAAACGTATATACGAAGTAGACGACAATAATAATATTATGATAACGTCCCAGTACTTGACTAACGCTACGAGTCACATACCATGGATGTCGCCCTTGTCCCAGTACGTCATGAACTGGTTCAAACACTTTTGGCGGGCGCGAAACGTGCGTACGCACACTTCCATACCGCAGCGCAGTTCCTTCACGCAGTCCACGGTGCCTAGCGGTGTGTCGTCAGGTTTACCCTACAGAACATAACGTATTGGGGTCAAAGGGGTCTTGATTGAATAAAAAATAGGGGGGTAGGGGAAATGGTATGTCGTCGGCATACTGGTTGCACCGCTGGACCTGCAGGTGGTGGGGGGGTGTCGTCGACGGAGCTGCCTTGAGAAGCTACTTAATAGGAAGCCAAAATCATGGCCATCATGTCCAATGCAATCTCGTTCTTACCACTGTCGTCGACTGAAAACCGTTTGATCGTATCTGGGCCCATTTGAGTGGCAGTGCTCGGGTGAACCACTGGGCTGGACCCACCTGAGTATCATCACGATATCCCCATCTCAGACTCGAGTTATAGTTGAACAAAGATGGCGAGGGGGGGGGGGTCGTACGTGGAGGCAAGTAGTGTGATGGAGGTTGCGACGGGGTGGACGGTTTCGAGTTTCCTCGACTTATTCCAGAGGAAGCTAAAGCGTTGGAGGTGACTAGTGGGGGCGATGGTCGCGTGGGCTGCTGCTTGGGGGGGGCGAAGGGTTGCAACTGCGTCAGATCTACCCGCCAAATCGACACAAATGCATTGCTGAACGACGCCCCAAAGAGCTGCAGGTTGTCCGTCACGAGGGTATCCCCTAAGCGCTCGCTGCTGATCGAGTCGCGATTCCAAGGCAACGTGTCATGACACTACATCGTCGTCAGTCATGGTGACGACTGACTTGGTCATTTGGTATGGACCTGCACCGCTTGGTCGTAGCTCCACACTTTGATGGCGTCTTGGGAACTGCACAGGGCAAACTTGCCACTGTAGGGCTCGCTCACCGTGTGCGAGATGGACGTGGTCTATGATAACGTCATATCGATCAACGTCATCCGATGACATACCACGGCATTGTCGGTGGGCGTCAGGCCAAGTAGTTGCATGTCTTGAATGTCCCAGAACCGAATCGTCTTGTCTGTGGACGCAGACAGCAATATGAATTCCTCTGGGTTGAACTCCAAACCTAAATTACGTCCCTTGAGCAAAACACAAAACCACTCTTGGTGGGCAGAGGTTCGTACAAACGATGGCGCCGTTGTGGTCGTTGAACTCTTTGAGTAGTTTGCCTGCCGTGAGGTCCCAGATCTTGATGGATCCGTCAACGCCGCCAGACGTGAGCCACCGGCCGTCTGGTGTGAAGCTCACGCACGTGACTTCGCTGTGATGGCCCTTGAAGGTTTGAACGCAGTTCTTCGCTTTGAGGTCCCAGATCTACCGTCGAGTCATACAAATGCTGTACGCGGTAGAATGACCTTGACGTTTGTGTCAAGCGCTCCCGATGCCACGTAATCGCCGTACAAGTGGTAGTCGATGGCAGTGCAGTTGGACATGTGCCCTTTGAGAGTGCGAAACACCTTGGCAGCCTCCATGTCGTACGCCTTGATGGCGCCAGACTTGGAGCCAGCCACGACCTTTTTCTCGGATGGGTCGAACACGACGCATTCCACGGGGCTGGAATGACCGGCAAGGCTCTACCGAGGTGTGATGAGATCATTATTCAATGCAAAGACCGAATCACCATGATGTTCTTGGTTTCATTCTCGCGAATGCGCCACAAGTTGACGTTGGTGTCGTCCCCGCCACTCACAGCAACTTGTCCCTGATCATAACATGAATATCCATCCAGCCATGGAGTTTATCCTGCTACGGATCATCGAGGTAGGAGTATGTACCGATTTCCGGCCAAACCGAATGCAATTGACATTGCTGGAGTGGGCCATGAAGTGCGCTACGTCCTTGTGAGTACTCAATCTTCAAAAGAATGGAGTAGGCTCAACAGGAGGCATTCGACTTACAATGTTTATGCATGATGGTTGGGAGGTGGGCTAACCACTTGATCGCGCCACTGATGTTTGAGATGGAAATTGTGACTGTTCGATCTTGGCATTTGATTGGTCATTAAGTTTATTCGAAGGAGGGAAAATATGGGTTAGTTCTACCGCTTAAACTCTGTGCTTGGTTGTTACGTAGTATATCTTGTCATCACTATCCCTTGAAGCATTAAGCAACGCCGATGAGATCTCGGTACTCCGTTGCCATGTTGTGGCGTGGTGGGAAGGTCAGTATGTAGCCGCAGCAAGGAATGAGAAAGGTCTCGCTTTCCCCGGAAATTTCTACCATCCGAAAAAATAGAAATGATTTCGACCAATCCCAGGCGATCTAGTCAAACGACACATAAACGCTGTTTGGAATCCTTCGGGCAATTACAGTAAGCATCATGGACAACGATCTCCACAATAACGAGGACAACCAGGCGGTGATGCCAACAGACAAGGCGCTCCTTGAAGCTCGCCTTCGCGCACTGACCGAGGAGTGGGGGCTGTCCCCACTTGGGCAGAACATTGCATTTTTGTGGCTGTCCAAAGCCGCCACAGATGACACGGGCAAACTCACCCGGCTGCGTCAATGGGCCCTCATGGAGCTCAACAAACAACGCCGCCCTCCCAACATGTCCCCATGGCAGTATGGATGTCCCAGTCTCTTGCCAGGGCTTCGATCACGACCTGTGTGGGACGAAGACATGCGGACAACGTTTCCATGGATCCATGCACTCGAAGCCGCGTTTCCTGCCATTCGAGACGAATTGCTCGCACTCAAGAACGATCCGTCGACGTTTCAGCCGTACCGCGCTCCTTCGTGGGCCGGAGTGAAACAGGTAAGGTAGTTTGCCCCTTGCGATCGTTACACCCTGAAGGTCCATTCTTCTATGAGCTAAATCATCTTGTTCACACAGGCCGACGACGGCATTGGCAGCATCAGCCATGACGCTGGCGACTGGAACGTCTACTATCTGCACCTCCACGACGTCGACTACGCCGCCAACCGCCGGCGGTGTCCGGTTACCACGGCCGTGGTGGAGTCCATTGGAGGCCACTACAACCACGCGTTCTTCTCGGCGATGGCGCCGCAGACCCACATCACTAAGCACCATGGCCCGACCAACAAGAAGCTCCGATGCCACCTTCCATTGGTCGTGCCTTCTCCCGACTCGTGTCGGCTGCGCGTCGGGGACGACGTCGTGTCCGTCCGCGAAGGCGAGTGCTTTGTCTTTGACGATTCCTTCGAACACGAAGCCTGGAACGACCACATGACCAAGAGCCGCATCGTGCTAGTCCTGGACGTGTGGCACCCGTCGCTGTCGGCGCCAGAGACCAAGTTCTTCAAGTTCCTGCAAAAGGCCCGCCTGAAAGCCGAGCGAAAACTCGCGGAAGACGACGTCGATGGCTTCTACCACATCCTCAACGAGGCCACCCACGTCACGCCAAACCCACTGGCAATTTGGAGCTGACCCAGTAGATACACCTTGAAATGACAACAACATCCATTGCAATTCCGTCGTAAGATGACCGACAGTAGTATTGGTTACTAGTACGTATCATGCCTGAAAGGCAATTGTCGTATGTATTAATACTGGTGTACAGTAACTTACATGGGTTAACGTTAGCTTCAAGTAACGGTAACTTTAGGCACTTATACTGTCAATTTTGAAGATTTTTTAATGTTAGGGTCTGGTTGAAGTAAAATCCACCTGATTTTTTTTGACGACTTTTTGAGTGAGAAAAAGTTGGTGCTGGTTGAAGTAATCCGGTAAAATAATAACTGTGCAAAGTCATCATCTCGTTGTTGCGATAAGTACTGTACAATCTTACTTTTCTTGAGCCGACACCGCAGCGCAGCGAGTGATGACACATACCGCGACTCCCATCTACGCCCCAGCTATGTGCACCATGTCCGTTGGCGGCTATGCGTACTGTACGATCAGAATGCATGGCAAGGACATGACCTGCCTCCAGGAAAGATCTAACTCCTTGATCGATTTGCTCGCCTTGATGATTATGCTTGACAAGACATCGCGCCGCAAGAGCAATCGCTCGCTTTCGTCCGGATTCCGCGCTAACGTTACAAGACGTTGCCGACCTCAACGATCGAGCAAGCCTATCAGTGTAAAATGTGCCCGGATGGTAGTGGTGTTTCATG